TTGGCGTCAGCCTAGCTCACAGCAACCTCAATCTCCTGGGCTCAAGCGATTCTACTGCCTCAGCCTCCCAAGTAGCTGGGATTACAGGCATGCACCACAATGCCCGGCTAACTTTTTCTATATATATTAGTTGGCCAATTAATTTCTTGCTATTTATAGTAGAGCGGGGTCTCGCTCTTGCTCAGGCTGGTTTCAAACTCCTGACCTTGAACAATCTGCCCGCCTCGGCCTCCCAGAGTGCTAGGATTACAGGTGTGAGCCATTGCCCTCGGCCTGACCATATTCTTTCTATCCATATATTTATAAAAATATATTTATGAATATAACTATGAAGAATATATTCATTCATACTCACTGATTTTTTTCAAGACTATTCCTTTTAAGAAAAAGCTTCTCTTATTCTGGTGAATTCGATTTTTTTTTTTTTTTTTTTGAGCTGTCCTGCTTCCCTTCACCATTTTTGTATAATATTTTCCAAAGGGTTTATTACCTTAGCACAGGGATTTAGAAGTTAGATTACTGGGTACGGCATAATAAATGTGAAGGTGGCTAAGACATAATGGTTACATAATTGCCAAAATGCTATTGACATGTGAAAATGTTGGTTTTACTTAACCTTTATTATTGGATATTAGTTGTATTTATTTATTTATTTTTTGTATTTGAATGTTATTTTTGTTTTTTTTATTTCGGCATATTATGGGGGTACAGATTTTAAAGTTTCAATAAATGCCCATTCTCCCCTCCCCCCACAAGTCTGAGTCTCCAGCATGACCATCCCCCAGATGGGTGCACATCTCACTCATTATATATGTATATGGATATTAGTTTTATATCACATAAAGTTAAACAGGTGATAAATTGTGCCTTTATTTGATTTTTACTTTCTTATTGATGATATTGAACATCTTTCCATGTATTTGTATATTATTTATGTTTCCTGCATTGTAAATTTATTCCATTTTGATTATGCATATAAACTCTTTGGGTAATACATCTTTTGCATATTCACTGCAGACTTTTCCCCATTTTTGCTGTTGCTTTTGTTTTTGGAGAGAGGGACATAGATATTTCTTAATGTTTAAGTTGCAGGAATCAAAAAAGTGGCATTCACTCTAGCCTGGGCAACAAAGTGAGACTCTGTCTCAAAAAAAAAAAAAAGAAAGAAAGAAAGAAAAGAAAGAATATGGTCAAAGAATATGCAAATAATCACTGAACATAATCAAAAAATATTCCTTAAAACAAGTTTGCAGTAAATTTTGAAAACTGGTTATTTGGCAAATTGTGTATTAAACAAACTAGCTCTTGGAAAAATCTTTCAGTTAATTCATTTAGAGTCAAGAAAAAGGCCTATTAATGCTTTTATAAGCATGTTCAATGAAAAGGGCAGTCTATAAAAATTGTACATACTGGGTCAAAGTATGTGAAAAATGCATTTATAAATATATATGCACATAAACACATGCATATATTTGGCATACACAGATAAATCAAACCACATCAGCTAGTTTAATATTATAAACTTATGGTGATAGAAGATTTTTCTTTATTTTCTCAAATTATATAATATACTTATATAATTTTTACATTTAAAAAAGCAGTAAAGTTTGGAGCATTATACAATCCATACTCTCTTTTGCTGAAGAAACCAATAATACTTCTTTCCTACCTTTGTTAATGCCTGAAAAATATTAGAAAGAAATTCACATGAAATATCCTTTAAGATTTTCAAGTGGAAGTCATCTTGGGTTAAATCAGACTTTTCAGTCTCTTCTGTGTTAGACTCTGCTGAGTTCTCTGTTTTCTTCTGACAATGTTCCATATTTTGTAAGACCCGAATTAGGCTGTCAATTAGAGGAAGATCTACTGTACAAACAAATCAAGAGGCATGGAATCAGCCAGTTAAGTTTGGTTTTTCATTCATTCATTCATATATATTGAACAACTGCTAGACATCGTATAGTAGGTACTATAGATAGAGTGGTAAATAAGATCATCAAGGCATCAGACCTCAGAGGCTTCCAATTTTATACTTTCAAATAAGTAAATTAAATAGATCATTTCAGATTTTGGTAAGTTCTAGGAAGGAAATAAAAGAGGAATATAATAAAGCAGCCCAGCAGGCGAGACTTTCTAAAAAGGTGACGCTGAGTTGAGAACTATAGGATAAGCATCAGCAATGCAAAGAGCCCAGAAAACATTTCAGGTAGAGAGAACAAGAGCAGAGCACCATCCAGAAAGAAAAAATCATAGGTCTGAAGAACAAAAATGAGGCTGCTGTGGCTCCAGCCCAGTGAGCCAGTGGAGGAGCAGCAGCAGACAGGTTTAGAGAGTTAGGCAGGAGCCCTATCAAACGGGGCCTTGACCAGAGTAAGAAAAGAATCTTAATTTTAAACTTTCCTATAACAATCTTAAGCTTTTTTTTTTTTTTTTTTTGCCAAGCGGGCATGGTGGCGCATGCCTGTAGTCCCAGCTACTCGGGAGGCTGAGGCAGAAGGATTGCTCGAGCCCAGGAGTTTGAGGTTGCTGTGAGCTAGGCTGACGCCACGGCACTCACTCTGGACAACAAAGCAAGACTCTGTCTCAAAAAAAACAAAAAAAAAACAAAAAACAAAATTGGACTTAAGCAAATTTTACTTTATGGAAATTATCTAAGATGCATCATAAAATTTTAGCAATGCAAAAGACTGCATTGTATGCAAAAATACAAAGCAGTTAAGTTGATGAACAAATACCATGTGGGGAGAGTGGAAGGCTAGCAAGCATCCACAGGTGACCTTTTGCTTCCAGTCTCACTTGGTTTCATCTCACTTAGTTGCTGCTTTAAGTCTGGCCTGGTCCTCTGGGTATTGGCCCAGGTAGTAGGTTGGAATAACCCAATGATGTAAAGGAATAAGCATCATTCACAATTAAATTCAGGCTTACATTAAGTATGATTTACTTGCTTTTAAAAAGCTTTAAAAGGAAACTCTAAACATATATAAAAATAGAGGGAATAGTATAAAGGATCCCCACATAATCATCACTCACTTTCAGCAACTACAATTCACATCCAGTCTTGTTTCATCTACTCCTGTAACCCACTTCCTTCTCCTTGCCTCATCAACTCTTCAAATATCCTAAAAAGATCCTCAATAAGCTTGTGTTTTTGCTTTCTTCAACTGAAAATGATTAATACCACATAATCAATATAAAGGGGAGGGGGTGATAGTGGTGAAACTCCAGATTCCAATACCAAATAAAAGTGAGATAAGGGCACAAGTGTAATACCAGACACTATGGTCTAATATGAACTTCACCTACTATTTCCTGTATGTCAATTTCAATAGTCGATGAGGAAAATAAAATTTATTTCTGGTACAGAAGGAATTCCAATTCGGTTTTTAAGTATGAACCTTCAAACTTGGGAAGCTTTCCTCCAGGTCATTAGCAAGGGCCTTATCTACTTCATGTAAGATTTTGATGAAGTCTTCCACCTGTGAGTCAAACAAAAGAATGAAATAAATGTAGTGGAGGAAAAGGTGGTTTAAGATATTAACTACTGACTATAAAAACGGTCTACCTCTGGTTTCTGAACAGTGCAATGGAAAAGAAATGTTGATAAGATTCCCAGATGACAATAATAGTACTCTCTAAGTAGTCCTCTGTTTATCAGAAGAAATGACTTATCAAGGAAACAACTATCCTTTACCATTCTGTTTTACTCTTAAGCTGGTACTTATCCTTCTGCTATTCCCCTTTTAGGGTCTAGAACTGGACTTTTATTAGCATTCTCCTTGATAGTATGTCCCTTCACTCTCGCATTCCATACTTCATTTTCCTAAAAAAATTCTTTGTTTTTTTTTTTTTTGTTTTGAGATAGCGAGGACTACAGGCGTGCACTACCACACCCAGGTAATTTTTTAAAAAATTTTTTGTAGAGGTGGGATCTCACTATGTTGCCCAGGCTAGTCATGAACTCCTGACCTCAAACAATCCTACTGCCTCAGCCTCCTGAGTTGCTAGGATTGCAGGAGTGAGCCACCATGTTGGCAAAAAGTTCCTATTTTGAAATTGCCTCTAATGGTAGCAAATGTGATGTCATTTGAAGAACCATACAAACCTACTATTCCTAAGAATATTCCTAAGAATCTTACTTTCACTTAATATATATGCTATTTCCTTCATAACAGAGAGGGGTAATATAAATTCAGTGTTGACTCTTTCCTCTTGGAATTGCTACTCAGGCCAGTACTATGAATCATCCAGCAGTCACCTTTCTGAAAAAGGCATTAAGTCATGTAAATTGTATGCACTCCCTTTTCTGACAATGGCCTTGAAATCAAGTGCTTAATTGAAAATATTTTATTTAGTAATCCTATGAAACTGAGCCGCCTATACATTTACCCATACTCACCACAAGGCTATAGAAAGGAAGAAGGTTTTGAAATGCAGAGGAACATTTCTCTTTGCTCAACTGGCCCTCCTTTAGTCCCTGAGCCACAGTCTCCTAAAACAAACAAACAAAAAGATTTAATGTAAAAACAGGAAAATTTCTAGAGCTATAATTGGTGAATAAATACAAGTTAGTATATACAATTCCCTACTGATCCTATAGGCATTTCAAATGTTCGAAACTGAACCCATCGATCAAGGAGGCTTATATAACACAAACATTTTCTCCACTGTAGTCCTTAGTTTAGTGAAGGGCACCACCATCCCTCCTGCTGCACAAACTAAAAACTTAGAACACAGACAAGACTTTTCCTTCTTCCCTGCTGCTGACCAATGCCCCTTGCTCCCTGCCAAGTGTTCAATCCTACTCTACTTAATCTCTCTCTTCTTCCACCCCTCCTCTCCAGTCACACTTCCATTGCCTAGGCACTCATTATTTTTCAGATTATTCTTGAAGATTATCAACTACAAAAGCCTGTTTGTTGGTTGGTCTTCTGGCCTCCAGCCTCAACTCTCTCTAATTGCTTTTCCTCTCTATTGCTTTTGGAGTAATTGTTCTAAACTGATATCACTGGATGCTTAAAATAAAAAAATCTTTAGTTGCACCTCAGTTTCCTCTACCTTAAGTCCAAATTCCCTAAATATGTTATATAAGAATTTTCATGACACATCTTTGGTATATTCTTAGCCCTCCTTACTTTTTTGTTCCTGCAACTTAAACATTAAGAAATATCTATGTCCCTCTCTCCAAAAAACAAAAGCAACAGCAAAAAATGGGGAAAAACGCTTGCAGTGAATATGCAAAAGATGTATTACCCAAAGAGTTTATATGCATAATCAAAATGGATAAATTTACAAAGCAGGAAACATAAATAATATACAAATACATGGAAAGATGTTCAATATCATCAATAAGAAAGTAAAAATCAAAATAAAGCACAATTTATCACCTGTTTAACTTTATGTGATATAAAACTAATATCCATATACATATATAATGAGTGAGATGTGCACCATCTGGGGGATGGTCATGCTGGAGACTCAGACTTGTGGGGGGAGGGGAGAATGGGCATTTATTGAAACTTTAAAATCTGTACCCCCATAATATGCCGAAATAAAAAAAAACAAAAAACTAACATTCAAATACAAAAAATAAATAAATAAATACAACTAATATCCAATAATAAAGGTTAAGTAAAACCAACATTTTCACATGTCAATAGCATTTTGGCAATTATGTAACCATTATGTCTTAGCCACCTTCACATTTATTATGCCGTACCCAGTAATCTAACTTCTAAATCCCTGTGCTAAGGTAATAAACCCTTTGAGTGACAGGATTGCGATATGGCCGAAAAGATGTGGTGATAGGGGAAGCAGAGCTCGAAGAAAGAAGAGAAAAAACGCCAGAAAGAAACGAGTTCATTTAGTATAAGGGTTTTCTTTTTTTTGAGACGGAGTTCTCTGCTTGTGGTCCACGGCTTAGAGTGAGTGCGGCGTCGTAGCTAGCTCCAGCTGAGACGGTGGAGGGCTGACTGTTTCGAGAAGAGTCTTCTGCCTCGAGGCTCGCCCGTAGCTGGACGGACAGCATGAGCCACCACGCTGAAATTCTGTAGTATATATATCAGTTGGCCAATTATTCCTTGTATTTATAGTAGAGACGCTGTCTCGCTCGCTGCTCACGGCTGTTTTGAAACTCCGACGCTTGCGCATCCGCCCGCCTCGGCCTCCGAGCGGCTAGATTATCAGCGCGTGAGCACCCGCGCCCGCAAAGAGAAAGCTTTGTCTTAAAAGGATAGTCTTGAAAAGAAGTCAGGAGTGATGAGATGAAGTATGATTCTTCCATAGTTATATTTGTAATATTTTTTATAAAGGTATGGATAGAAAGCAGGTATGGTCAGCCGGGGCAATGGCTCACAACTGTAATCTAGCCTCTGGAGGCCGAGCGCGGCAGATTCGTTCAGTCAGAGGTTTGACAACAGCCTAGAGCAAGAAGCGAGACCCGCATCTCTGATCTAGAATAGGAGAAAATTTTTGCGCTGATGGTAGTAGTATAGAAAAAGTTAGCCCGTGCATAGGGGGGTGGGCGCGATGCCTGTAGTCCCGCTCAGCTTTGGAGCTGAGGCGTAGTCGCTTGAGCCCAGGAGGATTGAGGTGCTGTGATGCTATGTGACGCCACGGCACCTCACTCTAGCCTGGCAACAAAGGACTGCTGTCTCAAAAAGAAAAAAGAAGAAAGAAAGAGAAGGTATCGGCAGAAGATAATGCAAATTAATCAGCGAACGAATCAGAAAGAGTCTTCCTTAAAAAAAGTTGCAGTAAACTTTTGAAAAACTGTCGTTGATTTGGCAGAATTCTTGTAAACAAAGTCTAGCTCGTGGAAATTCTTGCAGTTAATTTTCATTGATAGAGGTGCAATGAAAGGCTATGAATGCTGATTGTGGGACGCAGTGTGGTGCAGAGAAAGAGCGAATCTATACTAAGAAGGGTGTATACCTGGGTCAGAGTATGGATAAGAATGCTTTCAGAAGGCTTGATATTATGCATGGTAACAATGCACGTATGATGTTGCGTATATACAGATAAATCACGACCACATGCAGGCTAGTTTAGATATTATAAATTATGGTGATGAGGAGATATTTTCGGTTTATTTTCGTCACAAGATAGTCCATAAGCGTGGTACTTGTATAATTGTATTACATTAAGTAGAAAGCAGGTGAGTTTGGCATGTATACGAATCACTACTCTTCCTGTTTGGCCTGAAGAAACACATAATATTCTTGTCCTACCTTTGTTAATGCCTGAAGAATATTAGGAAAGAAATTCACATGAGAGATATCTTTAGGTGTTTCAAGTGGAATCATCTTGGTTAAATTCCAGAGCTGTTTTCAGTCTCTTCTGTGTTAGGACGCTGCCGAGTGTGGGTCCGTCTGTTTTGCGGTGCTGACAGATGTTCGACATAATTTTGTAGGAGACGGCGCGAGATTAGGCTGTCAATGTAGAGGAAGAGTTTCCTGTAAACAATCAGAGGTATGAATCAAGGCCAGTTAGTTTGTTGCATTCAGTCAATTCGATTATATATTGAAGAAGCTGCTAGCGGATCGGGATAGATATGGACTAGTAGATTAGCATGGTATAATAGATCATCAAGGCATCAGCTGCTCAGAGGCTTGCAATGTGTTATACTTTCGAATAAAGTAACTGGTTAATAAATGCATTCAGATTTGGTAGGTTCTAGAGAGGAAATAAAAGAGAGAATATATAAGCAAGCCAGCGGCGAGACTTTCTAAAGGTCTGGTGGGGGGCGGGGGGGACGCTGAGTTGAGAACTACTAGATAAGATCAGCAATTGCACAGGAGCCAGGAAAAGCATTTCAGGTAGAGGAGAACACAAGAGGCAGAGCACCATACCAGAAGAAACAATGATAAGTCTGAAGAACAAAAATGAGGCGGCGCTCGCAGCCAGTGAGCCAGTGGAGAGCAGCGCAGGCAGGTTGGGTAGGAGAGTTGGCAGGAGCCCTATCAAACGGCGTTGACCGAGTAAGCAAAAAGATCGTTATTTAAAACTGTGCTGATGAGCCAAGTCTAGTTTTTTTTTCTTTTTTTTTGGAGACAGGTTGCTCTTCCCAGTAGTGTGAGTGCTGTGGTGTCAGCCTAGCTCACAGCAACCTCAAACTCCTGGGCTCAGGCAATCCTGCTGCCTCAGCCTCCCAAGTAACTGGGACTACATGCATGCGCCACCATGCCCCGCTAATTTTTTCTGTATATTTTTAGTTGTCCAGCTAATTTCTTTCTATTGTTAGTAGAGATGGGGTCTCGCTCTTGCTCAGGCTGGTTTCGAACTCCTGACCTCGGGCAATCCTCTCGCCTTGGCCTCCCAGAGTACTAGGATTACAGGCGTGAGCCACCGTGCCTGGCCACCATTTCTGCTTAATAATTACAAACCCAGAGAGTTTTCTGTAACATTGAATCAAATATACTGATTTTTTTCTTTTTTCTTTTTTTTTTTGAGACAGAGTCTAGCTCTGTTGCCCAGGCTAGAGTGCCGTGGCGTCAGCCTAGCTCACAGCAACCTCAAACTCCGGGGCTCAAGCCAATTCTCCTGCCTCAGCCTCCCGAGTACCTGAGACTACAGGTCAGTCAGTAGCTGGGACTACAGATGAATAGCTGGGACTACAGGCATGCACCACCATGCCCAGCTAATTTCTATTTTTTAGTAGAGATGGGGTCTCGCTCTTGCTGAGGCTGGTCTCAAATTCCTGACCTCAAGTGAACCTCACATCTTAACCTCCCAGAATGCAGGATTACAGGAATTAGGTACCATGCCCAGCCCCCAGATATATTCATTTTTAAAAACCTAACTCTACAACCAAACTCAAGTCACTGATAGTACATGAAAATTACATTTTTAAAAAATTTGCAACCAAAGAAATCCTTTTATCTTTTATTTCTCAACTCAGTGTCAACTTTTCAAAGCACCTACTCTGCCTGGCTGCTTTATTATATTCCTCTTGGATTTACCCCCGTTCTCTTGTATTATTACAACTCTTGCCTCTAAAGCCTAATTCTTTACTCTAGGATTTCCGTGAAGTTCACATCAATCTATACCAGCCTCTCTTGTCTCTCTTTCTCACCCCCAACCCTAACTCTACAATGCCCCTATTCAAGGCTGAGGGCAGGGCGAAAGGGAGAGGGTTAATTATTGGATTTGAGTTAAAGGAGCATCTTTACACTGTCTGCCCCAATCATAGAAGTCATACATAAAGTTCTGGGAAGGAGGGGGTATGGAGAGGGAAGAGGATAAAGAACACCTATTCCTGTAACATCAAGATGTGTTCCTACTATTACAAATGAAAACTCTATGTGTGGTTTTCAACAGAAAGATTATACATATTACAATGAAGTTAGAAAGTTGGGGTTCAAAGTCAGCATATCTCCCCTTTTCCTTTCAGAAATCACCTTGAAGAAACTAAGAGAATGGGCAACAGAAACAAACTCCAGCTTGGATAAAAGTAGGACACAGCTGAAACTTCAAACACAAGGTAGGTATAAAAAGCAGCAAAAGTAGTGAAAATCAAACAGGAGGTAAAAGAATAGCCAAGAGAATGTCTGGGGCTGCAGAACTCAGAAAGGGTCAGAAAAGTCCACTTCTCTAAAGTAAAGCACACACTCTGAGGTGTAATTCTAGAATCCCTTGTTTGCAACATTAGGAATAGAGCATGCAAGATGACCGCTGGTGCTTCTGTGGGGGTTCTAAGAAGCAGAGGAAGAAAGGTTGAATGAGTAATCCCATAGACAAGCCATGTCTGCAGGAAGCAAATGGCAAGGGTAAAGACAAGATTTTACCACAGCTACCTCTCACCTGGGAAAAAGAGCTAGAAGACTCATAGATCCAACAATTCACCGAGAACATAGCCTTAGCCCCTCTCCTGCATGAACTTCCTGCAAACAGCTGGCCTAGGAAAATCTCAATTCATACAATGATGAGCAAGCAATAAGAAAGCAACATAGGAGGAACATGAAAACATTACAAAAAAATAAATAAATAAAGGCACACAAAAAACAAATGGCAGATAAAAAACACTAAAAAAAATTGACATGAAGCTTATGAATACTGAGATAATATTTAGCCATGAGTTTTAAAAATAATAACGTAATCAAGCACAAAGCAGAGATACAAGGGCTTAGATTAAGAAGTGAAAGATAACAAGAGAGGCAACCTGAGCTCGTAGAGCTCAAAGAAGAAAAAAGAAGAAATGAAGGCACTATAGAAATGAAGACAAAACTGCCAGCAGAACAAGTGAGAACAGACATTGCTGAAAACACAGCAAGGGACATGAAGGTCAGGAAGGAAAAAGCAAAATGAATGGAAGGAAAATAAACAGGGTTTTTTTTTCCTGTTAAATGGAGAAAGTTAGTTATGGAAGACAGGAAAGGTGATCCCATGTAAACATAATTATACCCTCAAAGAAGAAACCAAAATGATGGAACAGAACAAATATTTTAAGATATAATTCAGAAATGCCATCCCTCCAAGACTTAACTTATAATTTGAAAAGTACCTGGAAAGGTTGATAAGGAATAGGCAACACTGAGGCATAACTTTCTCAAGTGATTAAATTTTAAGAATTAAAAAAAAAAGAATTTTGGGGGCAGTTTTAATAATTACAAAGATAACCACAAGACCAAGAATACAAATCTTCTTCAATGTTAGAACTATATACAAAAACAGAGCAAATAAACCATATAGTGAAATATTGAAATGTAAACATATATGATGGAAAATACATGACAGCATTCAGATGAAACACAACTATTATATCAATACAGGTTGAATATCACTCACCCAAAATGTTTAGGACCAGAAGTGTCTCAGACTTCAGATTTTTTTCAGATTTTGGAATATTTGCATGATACCAATTGAGTATCCCAAATCTGAAAATCCTTCCTTTGAGAATGTCAATGCTAAAAAAGTTTTGGCTTTTGGTGCATTTTGGATTTTGGATTAGGAATGCTCAACCTATACTTGTAAATAAGTTTAACTCACCTATTAAAAAGAAATCAACACATCAAAACCAAGTATTCAGAAAGGTTGAAAAGAATAGACAAAAGTATCAGTGGTGAATGAAAGCAAAAAGAAAACGGGTTGTGATCTTATCTTATCAAACAAGACAGAAGCCAAAAAAGCAGTAAAAGAGACAAAGATGGGCAATTTATAATGAATGTCTATATAGCAAATAACATGACATCAACATACATTAAGCAAACTACAAATAATAAAGAGAAAAAGACAAACGTATATGTGGTAAGAGATGTTAATTCTCTTATTTCACACAAATCAAGTCAATGGAAATCACCAAGGTTACAGAAGCACAACTACTGACAAATCTAACATTTGTACTTCTAGCTCAGGCTTCTCCCCTCAGCTCTGGACTCAAACTGCCCACTCAATACTTCCATGTGGACATCTAATAGACATCTCAAATTTAAAATGTTTAAAACCAGTCTTCCTTAATCTCAATAAATGACAATTTTTGGGAGAAAAAAATGCCAGACAGATCCTTGACTTTTCTCAGCTTCCCCATCTTAATGTCAGCAAAATCTACTGGCACTACCTCAAAATGATCAGAATCTATTTTTTCCATCACCTGCACTGTTACCACTTTGGTTCAATGTATATCTCTTGCTATAACTCAAGTACCGAGAGCCTCCAAAAGCCTGTAACTAGTCTCCCTTTTGTGCCCATGCCCCTCCTGCATTTCTTATCAACAAAGGAGCCTATTAAAGTCAGTTCATATCTATGTAAACCCTGCTTAAAACTCTCCATAGCTCCCTACCTCATTCAGAGTCAAAGGTAAAATCAGGCCTCCACCCTACTTCTCTGGCCTCATGTGCTACTTCTCTTCCCTTTGCTAAATCCACCACAGCCACATGGGTCCTCACTACTCTTCTTCAAACATACCAGGCATACTTCTGGTATGGGCTTTTACACTTGCTATTCCCTCTGTCTGGAATATTTTTCCCCCCAAGTACTCAAAGGACTCCCTCTATGATCTCCCTCAGGTCTGTACTCAATTTCACCTTCTCAATGAGGTAACCTATCCATAAATGCAGAAAATGTTCAACATTCATTTTTGATTAAAAACTCTTAATAAAATAGGAACAGACTAGTACTTCCTCAAATGATAAAATAAATATCTTATACCCTACAAGGTTTAATAGTGAAATTCTAGAATCATTACCAATAGTATCAGGAATGAGGTAAGGATGTTTTCTAACACCACTATTATTTAACACCAGAGGTATCAGACAGTCCAATTAGATAAAAAGAAATCAGAGCTCGAAATGTCATAAAACATATCTAACTTAAAGCCAAAGCAGTACCAGATAAAGCCCAAGATTATCACTGGAACAACTATTAAGAGCAGGAAGAGAATTCAGTAAAGTTACAGGATGTAAAATTAATACACAAAAATCAATAATAGCCTTCATATACTCCAAGGACAATAATCACTGGAAGACAATGTCATAGACAATAGCAACCCAAAAGGTAAAATATCTAAGAATAAATCTAATAAGAAATATGCAACATCTATGTGAAAAAAATCATAAAATCATTACTGAAGGACATAAAATAAGACTTGAACAAATGTAAAAGCATAATATGTTCTTGGATACCCTATAAATTTAATATAATCTAAATAAAAATATTAGAAAGTTTTTTTTGTTTTTGTAACCTGTCAGTCTAATTCAGTGATAAATAAAAATTGTCAAAAACATTCTGAAAAATTAGAATGAAGGGGGATTAACCCTACTAGGTATTAAAACATAAAACCTTAATACTTAAAATACTATGGTTACTAACACATGAACAAATCAATGCAACTAAATAAGACATAAAAGAGAATTTAAAAAATAGTAATGATGAAATTTCAAATCAGGGTGGTAAGGTGTATTATTCACTAAATGATGTTGAGTCAGCTGGCCCTCTAAAAAAATAACACTGAAGCATAGTACCAGTTATAAGAAAAAATAAATTGAAGTCATACCTCATATGTAACACCAGAATAAATTCTAGATGAATCATGGATTTAATTGCAGTCATAAAAATCATTCTGTGAAAGAACATGTGTTTACATAGGAAACTATTCATTTTATATTTCTAAATGAAAGAAGCTGGCTGAAAAGAAGGACTTAAAAAAAATATATGCATGTATGTATATAATAATTGTCTTCTGGATGGTGAGATTATAAGCACTATGTTTCCTTGATAAATTTTACAAATTTTTTTGTGTGTTTAGCATGTAATATTTTTGTAATTAGGGGAATAAAAGCATTTTTAAAGATGGAAGAAATAAATGTAGAACAAACACGAGCCTGGGCTTTAAAATCTGACAGACTGGAATTTAATTTAGTGAACCAAGATGATACTTGCCTTTTTCTACTTTTAGATACTCTTGTTCAGCCCGAGAAGCATAGATCGCAGACAACACGGAAAAAACAGAGGCTAGCACTGTCTTCTGTTCTTGAAGTATGATGGGTGGATCATCAGACTGGCAGAGTATATGACAGACCAGGTCAAAAAGAAAATTCCAAGTGTCTTTTCCAGTGTCAGGACCCTGTACTTAATAAAGATGATAAAGAAAGTAGTAATTTTAAAACAGTAAGTAATTAAATGAGTAACTATAGTGCATCTCAATAAACCACCTTACCAATTGCTTGAATTCCATCATCCACTGTGGTAAGCAGCTGTAAGATATGCACATAAACATCAAGCCCTTCTGGATTTTCAGAACTAAAAAAAGCAAAAACACTGAATCAAAAACTATACTATCCAGGGGATTGTATTCATTCAACAAATATTTATTACTCTGTGCTAGCCTTCCCTGGGCACTGAAGATAAAACAGTGAACATAATAAAGTCTCTGTGCTCACTAGAGCTTAAATTCTAATAGGGGAAGAGCAAAAAGAAATAAAGCATGTAATATAATCGACACATACAGGACAAGAGGTAAAAATTCTTTTTGGCTTTATCCCACAAACGCAATTAATTCAGAGACCTGCTATTTGACTGAGTCTTCTGCATCAATATAAGGTCCACTACACCCAGAATCGACAATAATGATATTCTTAAAACTTCTTAGGATTATCCTAGCTCCCTAGCTGAGAACACTAAAACCTCACCATTCTTATGATCAACAGTTTGGATTCTCAGAAACTCAAAATCTTAGTTCTTCAACCAAACAAGTGAAAAGATAGTGAACAATTAAAAATGACATTTCAGCAAATATTTATTTAAGTACCTACTTCTTTCAGGCACTATGTTAGGGGCTGGGAAAACAGAGATGTATAGGACATTATCCCTATCTTCATAAAGTTTACAGTCTAAAAGGAAAGAAGATAATTAAAGGGGTAATTATAATACAGTGATATGAATACAACACTAGAGGAAGTTCCAAGGGCTACAGGCTCACAAAGCAAGCAGATTTAATTTAGTTTGGAGGGTCAGGGAAGGTAAATGAAATACAATGTTTATACAGAAACCTGAAGGGGCAAAGTGTTTGAGGTAGAGGAAACATACTGTACAAAGGCCTGAGGCAACAGAGATTGGTTCAGTTGAAGAAATGAAGAAAATTTCACACAGTTGAAACACAGAGAAGCACTGGAGAAGCACTGTGCAAGACCTTATTTCTTAAAAATTTTTTTAAAAACAATTTTTTTAAATAAAAAAATTGTATTTTTAAAAAAAATCTGGACCTTATCCTAAGGAAGGCCAACTAGAAAGTCTGAAGTATGAAAATGAGATGGTGAATGTGTGTGCTTTGTAAAGATGGCTCTAAAGTATACACCTGGAAGGAGTGAGCCTAGGGGACTCAGGTAAAAGATAGTGGCAGTTAGTTCTCCAGGTGAGAGACAACAGTGGCCAGGCTGGCATGACTGGGATCCCAGAAAAAGTCAGGAACAAGGCTTGGAAATTGGCCATGGGACAAGAGTGTGGTGGGAAAGACTCAGTAATGGCTTCTCCATTTCTTCTTCCACATTATCCAAATGGAATAATGATTGCATCATCTGTTGAGACTGAGAAGACTGATGAAGCAGATTTGGCGGAAGAATGAGTTTACTGATCAATTGGACAAAGGATATAAAATTAATAGGTTTTTTTTTTTTTTTTTTTTTGAGACAGAGTCTCACTCTGTTGCCCAGGCTAGAGTGCCGAGGCGTCAGCCTAGCTCACAGCAACCTCAAACTCCTGGGCTCAAGTGGTCCTTTTACCTCAGCCTCCCAAGTAGCTGGGATTACAGGCATGCACCACCATGCCCAGCTAATTTTTTCTATATATTTTTAGTCATCCAGTTAATTTCTTTCTATTTGTTTTAGTAGAGACAGGGTCTTGCTCTTGCTCAAGCTGGTCTCGAACTCCTGAGCTCAAACGATCTGCCTGCCTCCCCCCATCAGCCTCCTAGAGTGCTAGGATTACAGGCGTAAGCCACCTCGCCCAGCCAAAATTAATAGGTTTTAATGTGGCTTATTAAGCATGAATGTGGCACTATTGACTACTAAGCAGATCAATTCAAAATTTAATTTTCTAGTGACTAGCAATAAGCAGTTTCAATGACCTATAATCTGGTAATCTCTCTTGGCAAGACATTAAAGTTCAAAAGTCAGTCACTTAGTGAAGATTGGCATATAAACCCAAGGAGCAAGAAAATAAATGATGCCCAAGATTAACTGAAGAAGTTGTCAAGTGTTCAATGTAAAATAATGCACAAGAAAATTTTTTCTCTTTGTTTTAAATTATTTAAAATTGCCGATGATGAAAACATAAACCACAATTAGTGCCTATAGCTAAATGACATTAGAATAGGAACTTTGTAACTATTATCATTCATGCAAAGAGCAAATACATTGTTGCTATAATTTGGACGTTTGTCCACTGAAATCTAATCCCTAAGTTGGAGCTGGGGCCTTATGGGAGGTGTCTGGGTCATGGGGGTGAATCCCTGGAACAGTTTGGTGCCATCTTCATCCTTGTCTGCACAGTAATGAAGGAGTTCTCCCTCTATTAGTTGCCTAGAGAGATGGTTGTTAAAAAGAGGCTGGCACCTCCCCCCACCTTGCTTCCCCTTGCCCTGTTATCTCTGCATGTGCTGGCTGTCACCATGAATAGAAGCAATCCTGAGTCCTTCACTAAAAGCAGATGCTGACGCCATACTTCTTGTACAGCCCGCAGAAGTGTCAGCCAAATAAACCTCTTTTCTTTATAAATTGTCCAGCCTCAGGTATTCTGTTATAGTAATACAAACAGACTAAGACAACTGTCATCACAAATATTAGTAACAAATCAAACCTAACAAAGATTGGCTGTTTGAAAGGAATCTAAGAAGACTTTTATATCTAAGAATACTTCTAGCAATTGGACTTTTCCAGAACATTTTGCACAAAAGAGCTCACCTACCATACTTGTTTGACAGCTTCAAGTACACAAGGCACAATCCTAAACACTGGCTGCTCTTCAGAATCTTCGTGGGGTTGGTCCACAGCCTGGGCAGCCCCATTTCTAATCCATTCCAACATTAGTTTCTCATCCAAATCAAAGAGCTTGTCCACAACCTCTCCCACCTTCACCAGCAAGTCAGCTGTGGAGAATAAAACAGATATTGAAGTAAAAAACAAAATGTTAAAAATAACGGCGTTAAGCAAAATTCCTAAAGCTATTCCAAAGCAGTACTTACTCCAAGGGTGATTTGTTTACCTCCTATGTTTAAATTTGCTTCTTTTCTTTTTTTTTTTTTGAGACAGGGTCACATTTTGTGCCCAGTACAGTGATGCAATCATAGCTTACTGCAGCCCCGAACTCCTGGGCTCAAGTGATCCTCCTGCCTCAGCCTCCCAAGTAGCTGGAACTATAGGTGTGTGCCACTATGCCCCAATAATTTTTTTATTCTTTTATTTTTTGCAAAGACAAGGTCTCACTATGTTGTCTAGGCTGGTCTCCAAATCTTGGGCTCAAGTGATGCTCCTGCCTCAGCCTCTTAAAGTGCTGGGATTACAGGCATGAGACACCATGCCCAGCCTTCTTTCATTTTTAAATGAGGAATTTATCAGTGTTTTGGCAGTTTATGAAGAAATCTTATAACTTGAATAAAAAACTTTCTCACCTTGCATTTAGCCTTTTAAAAAAAGTGACTTTCAGAAATACTTACATGGTTTCCTAACAATTAAATATAATCTAAAACATTTTTTATAGATTTACATGGTGACTTACCATTAGTTGAACTTGACATGATGAAGCAAATGTTATCATAAATACCTGGATGTTCCCGGATCCTTTCAACCCAGACACTGGCCACTTCTGTCTGGGAAAGGCAAGTAAGCAACAACCTACATGATAAATGTGACCTTAATGTCTATCTTTCAGAAACAGGAAAAGAAAGTCAAAATGAAGAATTAACTCTATTTTCCCAGATTCCCTTGTGGGTAACTTTATAGAATCCATGAAGAGAAAAGCATACCTGCTTGTTTCCAGCAGAGTAGGTGGGTCTGAATCATACAAACAGTGCAATAACATCTGCCTACAAAAACAAAATAGTTATATGCTTAACTTATCTCATTTTAAATATCAGAGTTTTCATTTAATTTTGTGAACATTTTATTGTGAAATATAGCATATATATAGAAAAGCCTATAAGATACAACTCTATAGTTAATGAAAAATTATAAAGCAAACACTCATGTTTCCAGGGAACAGAACTATGCTCCATCTCTGGAACCCCCATGTGTCCATTCCAAATCACAATTCTCTTTCCTACCTAGAAATGATCACTATCCTGAGTTTTCCAGCAATCATTTCCTTACTTTGCTCTATAGTTTTATTACTTTACATTTGTTTGGTTCTGCTTTTGTACTTTATATGATAGAAATTATATTGTACTTATTCTCTGGTATCTTAGGTTTTTTTTGCTCAAAACCACGTACATAAGACCTTCCCGTGATGCTCCTGTAGCTATTGCTCTTTGATTCATTGCTACAGAGCATTCCATTGTATGAATATAACACAATTTATTTTTCTAGACTACTTCTGATGGACATTTAGGTTGATTCCAATTTTGAGTTATTTCAAGAAATCCTCCTATAGTATTTGTATGAGTATCCTCATGTACATGTGCAGTTTCTCTTATTAGAAACCTATCAGTGGGTCATAGCATATGCATATCTTCCACTTGACTAGATAATGCCTGACTATTCTAAAGTGGTTGAACAAATTTATATCCCATTAGCAATGTAAATTGTTCCATATTAAGATAAGCAATTAATTAAATTTTAAAAACTTAACATTTTTCATTATCAGATTTCTCATAGAGAACACTGGCAGCCAAACACAATCCTGAGTCATTTATTCCATGAATGACTGTAAGTAAATGAGGAATAAATAAATCATCTTTCTTTTTTTTTTTTTTTAAGAGACCCAGGTATTTATTTGAACTGTGACAAACCCGGACAAGAAATGCCTAGAACAGTTTTCCTATTTTGGGCACAAATTTCCTTGATATTTTGATTAACAGCCATGAACCCTCTAGAAAATGAATATGCCCATAAAATTTAACATATAATTTTAGGATATTCTCAGATCTCCTAAAGTAATCACCACAGTTTTCACCATTAAAAAACCCTCTCCCCAGAATTTTCCCAAATGTAGAAAAGAACTAGCCTACAAGCAGAAGAATGAAAGCCTTTTAGTCACAGAGGCAACCCTTTATCTTCTAATCTGTTGGTAAGTCCTACTCTCTGATCTAAGTCAGAGCTTTAGGATGATATTGTTCAACAAATCTAGTTTCTCCAGACTCTAGCTCTCTGAGTCCTTGGATTCACTGTACCCAAGTTGTTTTAGATTCTAGTTAGCTGCTTCCATCTACAAGTTTTACCCCAGTGGTTCTTCCCCTATTTAGCTCACCACCATCTGTTAACGATTCAGGTCCCTTTGCTACTGATGAAGAAAACAGGCTTAAATCCTGAACTTTGTCCAAACACTGTGTGCAAGCCCCTGGTATCATCATTATACAATTAAGTTCCTGGAGAGTATTCATCGAGACAAAAGGATTATATTTCATATTTTCCTATCTCCCCTATGTATTAGAATTCCATAAGAATATGAAATATGAATCTATTAAAAAATATTATGTAAGACTTACCCAAGATTTTTATGACTGCTGATGGACACACATATCTCCTGGAAACAGGCCATATTACCCAAAATTCCCACACAGATTTCCTGTCAAATCAAATTTCACAGGTCACAATGGCTTCATAGTGAAAGACAAATACATAAAAACAACAACTTGAACAAAAATTTTCACTGAGCCAAGTTTTGGAGGGAAAAAAATGGGAGGCAGGATATGGAAGCACATATACTGCCTGTACCCTAACCACAATAAGCTTACACGGTTTGAGAAGGGATGGAAGACACAAGAAAAAGAAAGATCAAAAGCAGGAGCTATGGAAGAGGAAATCTTATAGATAAAATGAGTCTTAAATGATTGGTAGGATTCAGATACCCAAACAAGAAGAAAGATGTGCAAATAAGGGAAGATATTAGTAAAGGCAGGAAAGGAATAACATATGTGGCCAGTAGACAATAAAGAAAATACTGTGGCTGTAGCACAAAGTGGGTGACTAGCATAAATAAATACAACAGATATAAACAATCAATACTAATGGCTCTGAATGCCATCTGAAGAGTAAGACTTAATCTAGGAGCTTATTTGGAGGTACTCATGAAGGTACTCAAGAAGGGGAGATAACATGCTGAAACAATATCTTAAGCAGATTATTCTGGAAGCAAAATGCATAATGTATGACAGTAGTCCCCCCCTTATCCGCCGTTTCAGTTATCTGCAGTCAACCTTGGTCCAAAAATATTAAATGGTGAGACAGCAAGTAGACAGACCTGGCTAAACCAGAAGGGCCATCTGGAAGGTAGACTTCATACTGTAAAGATGAATTAGATACAGACTGTGGAAGTCTTGAGCAACAGGTTGAGTTTAGAATAGTTTTTAAACAATAGAAGATTTGTGAGTAAAAAATTACAATGAACTGAGAAACAGTAAGTCTGGGCACTATTCCTTGTTCTGCCACATATTAGTGGCAAAGCAGCAGTTATGCCTAACTGGTTTCCACAGCTGTTAAATGAAAGTATTGATCTCCTTGGTCCAGTCCAAATCTAAAATTCTATGACTAATAATTTAAAATAGCACCTGGTTTATTTGCAATAAACATTTGTTGATTTATGGCCACTAGGAAAATGAAAATGAAAAAAATGAAACACTGTTCAGCACTATCTGCTGTTATTACTCCAAAGAAAAAGTCTTTAGAAACGTACATACTTACTCTCAATCGAGGACACTTGGATTTGGCCAGTACTCCCATAAATATATCAGGAGCATTAAATTCTTGGAGAAATAAAGCCACATCCTGAAAATAAAAAATGATTATTAACTTGGATGTTGAATATTCCTCTTTAAACCCTTTATTCCTCTTTTGTGGCTTAGGCAGCCACAAAATAATTTTAATTCCATATAACCTCTTTTCAGACACAAGGAAAAAAAAATCAAACCATAAAGTTAAGAATTGTGTCAACAAATAAAAGTAATATTAGAGAGTTGCTGTGGCATCTGATCCCAGACAATGGAACAAGTCCATAAAAAATATAAACTGTGATACTCCAGAGGATTATCACTGTTTCTGTCTTGAATCTGTTTACCTTAACGATTTTTCTACTCACCAGGAATTCTCATTAACTTACACAAACACATTTGCTGATTACATGCCAATTATTATGCTAGAAGCTGAAGATAAGGGAAGAGAGTAAAATTCATGATTCCTGTCCTCCAAGAGCTTAAAACACCATAGGGGAAACAAGTGAGGAACCGCTATTGGGTGATGTCCAAATCAGACTTGTGTTTTCAAAATCCTCAATAGAAAAAAACTTCTGATCACAATGTAACTGCGACCACCTCATACCTTCTTCCTAGAGTTTGCCCAGTCCACAGTTCCTAAAGAGGCACACCACACAGGTAAATGAGCCTGGAGTGGACGTGTGACCCCAAATGGGCTAAATTTCACCCAAGAATGTGGATATAAAAAGTAAGTAAGTAGCTCTGGGAACTCACATTATAAAATACATAAATAAAAATAAGTTTCTGGCTGTCCATTGCCTCCGATTTTCACCAAATTTGAGGTATAATTTGGGAAGGTTTAACTTAAAACACAGACTGCATGGCTTATATAAAAATTCACATGGAGGGACCCTGGAGCTATTCAAAGAAGGCAATTATCCTCCACAACAGCTGAAACTGAGGTAATCTGCATAACTGTTGACTGGAAAAAACATACTCTACTTATTAAAGATCATAGTCAGAGAAAACAATATTTTCAAAGATTTGCTCAAAATTGAAAGTCATGACGGCAGATGTTCGCCACTGTAAGCAATTCAGCTGCTTGCATGTGGGCAATTCTTTGTAACATGAAGAAATTTAATTTAATGACAGTTAATACTTCCCAGAGTAGTACAAGGTTGGCCTAACAATGTCAACACCAACAATAACAGTAAGGGCAATTAACAGTCATTGAACAAGTATTAAATGCCTGACAAAGTGAAGTTGTTTATACTATCTCATTTTTCTTTTTTTATTTTTTATTGCATATTATCTCATTAAATTCTCAAAATAACTGTATGAAATAGTTATTATTAACCCCATTACACTAATGAGCAAACTTAAGTTTAAAAGGTTAAGCAACCTGCCTAAGATTATATAGTCTCAGTAGGAGAAAAGAGCTAGGATTTGAACCCAGATGAATTTGACTCAAGGTTATGTTCTTTTTTTTTGGTAAGAGATGAGGTCTCACTATGTTGTCCAGGCTGGAGTACAGTGGCTATTCACAGACGTGATCATAACTCACTGCAGCCTCAAACAATACTCCTGCCTCAGCCTCCTGAGTAGCTGGGACTACAGGAACATTGCACTGCACCCAGCAAGGCTACATTTTTAACCCCTATACCATGCTACCTCTCAGGTATTCATTCATTCACTCATTATTCATCAAATATTTACTGAAAAACCTAATATGCATTGTTTTAGCCTCTGGGGACACATCAGCAAACAAGCTAAATAAGGGCTCAGTCCCATGGAATTTTCATTCTAGAGGACTGAATAAACAATAAACATACAAGCAACTAAACTATATAATTTCTAAGTGCTAGAAAGAAAATAAAAAAGATGGTATGTCCTAGAATGGGGGATAAGGGAGGCTACTTTAGATATATCAGAGAAGATATCTCTGAAGAGGTGACATAACACTTTGATGAAAAGGAACAAATCAGGAGACACAGAGACTCAAAAGAAATCAGTGACTAATAAGGTAAGTTATGCAACAGAGTGAACAGATTCCATGGGAGCACAGAAATAAGAGAGGCTAATTCTGCCTAAAGTATCTCGGGCTGCATCACAGAGGAGGTGACATTTAAGCAGGGCCATAAACAGTGAGAAGGATTTCACCAGCTTGAGGCCACTCCAGGTAGGCTGGCATGAACAATACATCAACAAATGAAAGTGCAGGAAGTATTCGGAGGTCTCTGGTCCACACAACACAAGTCATGGTCACAGAGCAATAGAATACAAGGCTGAGATTTAATCTCACTGGAAGGACTTTATGCCAGCAGCCTCAATGATCAGGAGAGCTCAGTTCTATAGAGGTGCCTCGAGAGCAAGAGGACAAAAAGGAGGCCAACATGACCCTCACCTCCACCAATCATCTCATTTAAATAGCAGCTCTGTTTCTTCTATTTTAAAACTGAGATTTTCATACTCATACTTCATTTAAAAAACAGGTTCTATTTCTTTAAAAAAATTTATTTAACAGGATTGACAGATTGATAACATTTTTTAAACCATAGTTTCTCAATAACTGTAGGATAGAAAGTAGACTTGAACAATATTCTCAACCAACTTTATCTAACTGACATTTATAAGATACTCCACAGAGCAACAGCAGAATTCACATTCTTTTTAAGTGAGTATACAATATTTATCAAGATAGACTATATTCTGGGTTTTAATACAAGTGTCAATACATTTAAAAGGATTCAGTGTGTCCACTGACCATAATAACATAAAGATAGCTGAAAAAATCCCAAATATTTGAAACCTAAAGAACATACAGCTACAGCTATAGCCTACGAACCAAAGAAAAAGTAAGGAAAACTAGAAAGTTCTCAGAACTAAAGGAAATGAAACACACCATATCAGAATTTGTGGGATAATGGTAAAGCAATTATTTAGGGACAAATTTACAGTGCTAAATGCCTATACTAAAAAAGAATGATCTCAAATCAATGACCTCAGCTTCTACCTTAAGAAATTAGAAAAAGAAGAGCAAATTAAACCAAAGCAAGCAGAAGAAAGGAAATAATAAAGAATAAAGTGGAAATCAATGAAATAGAAAACAATAAAGCAATAGGAGATCAACAAGAAGAATGAAACCAAAGGCTGATTCTTTGCACAGCTCAATAAAATTGTTAAACTTCTAGCCAGACTGATCAGTAAAAAAAGGCAAAAGAAGCCAGGCACGGTGGCTCACGCCTGTAATCCTAGCACTCTGGGAGGCCGAGGCGGGCAGATTGCTCAAGGTCAGGAGTTCGAAACCAGCCTGTGCAAGAGCGAGACCCCATCTCTACTATAAATAGAAAGAAATTAATTGGCCAACTAATATATATACATATATAGAAAAAATTAGCCAGGCATGGTGGTGCATGCCTGTAGTCCCAGCTACTCAGGAGGCTGAAGCAGCAGGACTGCTTGAGCCCAGGAGTTCGAGGTTGCTGTGAGCTAGGCTGACGCCATGGCACTCACTCTAGCCTGGGCAACAAAGTGAGACTCTGTCTCAAAAAAAAAAAAAAAAAAAAGGCAAAAGACATAAATTCCCAACATAAGGAATGAGAGAGATAATATCACTACAAATTCTACAGATATTAAAAGGATAATAACATAATACTATGAACTACTTTGTGACAATAAATTTAACAACTTAGATGAAATGCATAAATTCCTTGAAGGACACAAAGTAACCTGAATAGCTCTATATCTATTAATAAAATTACAGTTTTTCCTACCCTATACTAAAACCCAATGAACGGTAAATTTTATGGTAGTGAATTATACCTTAATAAAACTGTTATTTGCAAAAAGTAATAAATACACAAAACTAAAAAGAGCCCTCCCACAAAGAAAACTCCAAACCCAGATGACCAGATATTTAGCCCAAATCTTATGAGAGCTCTGATCCTCTAGCCTCAAAGACAAAAGTTCAGCATTTACAGCTCCTAGGACTTCATTCCTTGTACTCTATATGCAAGTGATTAGACACTAAATAAAGCCTTTCCCCAGAGAGTAAAGGATTGGAACTTTTTAAAAGTTTACCACTTCGTCACCCAACAGTCTTTTCAGAGTTTTATTTCCAGCCTCATACCTCATCCATTGACATATCCCATACTCTGCAAATTTCATTCTCCTTTTCTTCATCAAGCTCCATCTGCTGCTCCTCATCATCTGAGCTGGACGTGGTATTTTCAGGACTAACAATCTTCAAACACACAAAAAGTGAAAAGAGATGAATAAAAGTTGTCCACAGTACTCCCCAAGCATAGCAGATCCTCAAATAACATTTTGTTATAAAACTGATGAGAAAACAAACCTATTCCCAGCTGGAGCCACCATCTGTGTGGAGTTTGCACACTCTCCCCATGTCTGCATGGGTCTGCTACAGGTACTTCAGTTTCCTCCCAACAGCCCAAGGATGTGCACGTTAGGTTATCTGTTGTATCTAAATCAGGGGTCCTCAAACTTTTTAAACAGGGGACCAGTTCGCTGTCCCTCAGACTGTTGGAGAGTGCACACTGTGGGCCCGGGACGAGTCGGCTGCTAAGATCGACAGGCAGTGGCGGCAAAAACACCCAGCGGGCCCGGATAAATGTCCTAGGCGGGCGGCATGTGGCCTGCAGGCCGTAGTTTGAGGACGCCTGAAATGGTCCCAGTCTGAGTGTGGATGTGTGTGTAAGTGTACCTGCAATGGAATGGTGTGCTGTCTAGGGCTGGTTCCTGCCTTGTGCCCTGAGCTGCCAGATTAGGCCAGCCTTGACCCTCAATTAGAATAAGTTGGAAAATGAATAAGTGAATAAAAATTATTATAAAATAAAAATTTTACTATTGTCTACTTTGATTTCATACAGACACACAATAAGTGATACAGTATGAAAGCACTCAGCGAGCCTTTGTTATTGTTTTTGAACTGTGTGGTTCCTCACAATTTTCACTTAGAAAACATTTATTCCTTAATTTAACCCACCGCCACTACGACCACCTTCACTCACAGATTCACCAAAAATTGGGTAAATAATCACCTTACTTGTTTTTATTTATCTTTCCTACATGTATACATAGCTCACATTGATTTTAATGTTTAATATTAGAAGTGTTTGGGGTCTTCATTGAGAAATGTATTGATATTTTTGTGTCCAGAAATATGCTTTAGGAAATTAACTCTGGCTTTCATCAATTAGCCTATGATAAAACTGGTTTTGTTATCAGCCATTTCACTTAAAGGCACAGTTTTCATGAATTTATTGACAATGTTAAGTGAGGACTTAATGTAATATTAACCCACAATCATTTAGAGGTCACAAACAGACTATCTTCAAAGTATCCTTTCTTGCAAAAATCTTGTGTAAAAAAATTAGTGCCTTGGATAGATCTATTCATTCAACATTCATGAAGTAAATATTGTTGCTAAGCAGTGAGGTAAAAATGCAAAGATGATTAAGATATAATCTCTTGCATTAAGAACATAAACTGATAAGTCATAACAGAAAGGTTAAGTGACTTATTTGAATTGTGGACAAACAGTTATGGTAGCAAAAATGATGGACCAATAACCTATTCCTGGGAGAAGGTGGGGAACATTTCTCACAGGAGGTGATATTTAAGCTAAATCTTGCAGAAAGAATAGTAGTTTGTCATGTGAAGAAGGGGAAAACAGCATTCAGAGGAAGTACAAGACTTCAGAGTTAAGAAAGGGCCCAGGTGCAAGTTTGTGTTGATGGAACAGTGTATCACGAGCAGCTGAGGCTGGAAAAGTTGCAAAGAGCCCTGGATTCCAGGCTAAGAAACACCCATTTTTCTCTTGTAGGCTACGGGAACTAAGAAGAGTATCATCAACAGCTGTTTTTAAAGAAGATTATTCTCGAGGGGTGAAGAAAATGGACTGGTGAGGATAGAGACTGGAAGCAGGGAAACCAGTCAGAAAAAGGTGAGGAGAAGAAAAGTCACATTTACTGAGAGCCTCCTATAGGCCGAACACCACGCTAAACACTCTATGGCCATTACAATCTCAGTTAACCTACACAATGACCCTATATACAATACTATATTATAGCCCCATTTTATAGAAATTAAGAGAGAAACAGAGACTCTGAGTGGTTAGGTGACTTGCTCAAACCGCTAGCTAGTAGGTGATGGAGCCACGTTTTTGATATAAGAACTGCCCGTGAAATATATAAATTAGGACCTGGGCTTCAGAAATGAGACTGGAAATGGGAAGCAAAAGCCGAGCAATGTATTTACATGGTCATGTATTTTTGGAGGATTTGCAAAAGTGAAAAATAATAACCAAAAGCATTTCAGCATCCCTGCTATTAGACTTCCCTTTGTGTCAAGAGGCACGGGAGTGGCCCCAGGCAGTTTGGGGGCAGTTTTCGGGGTACGCCGAGGTGGCCGGAACGCCAAGGCGTGAAAACCCGAAGTTCGCGCCTGGGGATGACGGCTCCGGAGCAGGAGGGGCTGCCAGAGGCGGCGCCCGGGTGTCTGGAAGTTGTGGGGAAAGCCCCCTGATGGCGCGAGTTTCCACACCTGAACGAGCCAGCTGAGGACGCCGAGGAGCCAGTGCTTGCTGTAGACCGTGCTTCCTATGCAGTCTCCCCCGGCCACCTCCCCGTCCCGCTCCTCATCCCGACTCGGCGGCGGCGGCGAAGGGTTGCGGTCCATGATTTGGCCGCGTCTGGCGTGCAGGAGCCGCTCCGGAAGCCGCGGAGGAGGCGACAGGCTTCCTTGAGCCAGAGGGCCCGGCGCGCCCAGCGCGGCTCCCGCCATAGCGCCCCCTGCCGTCGGAGGCCCGCCACCTGAGAGCCGGCCCACGCGGCTTGATCTCCACAACCCTACCCTACTCAGGGCCGGGGCATAGTCGTGCTCACGGGTATTTGTCACCCTCGCTGACCCAGATATGCTGTTTGTCCAGGAGCTCTTACCTGATCGAGAAGGAAGAGGGCGGGGAGGAAGCAGAGAAAAGGCCAGTGTCTCTGGTACAGATATGAATCTCAGGCCTGGACACAGAAGGGCCTAGAAACAGTCCACTGTAACCAGAGATACCTGAGCCAGCAAGACCCAGCGGGTCTGACTTGGAAAAGAAACTGTGGGGTGTCTGAGAATACCCCTATCCAAGATTCCAGCGTCTTCTGGAATGATGTGAGAGGCATAACCTCAGGCTATACTTTGAACCTGGAGATAGTCACTGCTTGGGGCCAATCTATGGTAACTCAGGGTATCTTTGTTTTTTTGCATTTTCCTTAAATTGTGTGTGTGTGTGTGTGTGTGTGTGTGTGTGTGTGTGTGTGTGTCAGAATTCTCCTACTCTTGTGGCAAGGGTTGGGGAATATTTTCGTTTCTGCTCTCTGGAATTTTTTGTGTAAAAAATTGGAATTATTTGCCTTTAGGGGTAAATTTGTCTATAGAACCATCTGGGCCTGCTGTTTTCTTTGTGGGGAGATTCAATCTCTTAAAATAGCTATAGGATAATCTAGGTTTTCATTTCTTCTTTAGTCGTTTTTTATAAGTTGTATTTTCCTAAAATTTGTTGATTTTTTTTAGTCTAGTTTTAAAATTTATTACTGAAGTTGCTCATAGGATTCTCTTACTATCTTTCCATTTTATGGAACATATAATTATAGGCTTATCATTGGTCCATTTATGGTCCATAGTGTATGGTCCATCTTTAGACATATAGTTTTATCCCCAATTCCTGCTATTGTTTACTAGTGCCTTATTTTTTTTTAATAAAAACAGTGATATTTATTGATCATCCCAATAGCACTGAACAGGCCCATGTTCTCAGGAAGACTCATATTCTGTTTCCAGATTCCAGTACAATAACACATTGGATTGCACAAGCATTTATTAAGCAATTTTATGTGTACTTTTCTGTATGAAGTACTGGGGATATAGAATTCAGTAATTCCAGTTCAAAAAATGTCCCTGCCCTCAGGGGTTCACAGCCTGGTCTCCTGAGAGCAGAGAGAAGAGGAAGCTCAATACTTGCTAGGCAGGCCTTTGGGTCTGAAGTGATTGGGGTCTTTGCCACTCCGGCCCCATTTGTTGGCAGCCTGGTCAGCCCTCGAGTCCTCCGCTCCGTGGCCCGTGAGTCTCTGGATACCCTCTCTGGCATCGCTGTGATGGAGGCAGGCAAGGAGGAGATAGATCACCAGGCTGATGACCAACAGTCCACCCACCCATTGTCCCTTTCCCAAGGGTGGGCTCTGAGAGGAGCCCCGGAAGGCCAAGGAAGTGGGACTCAGCCCTCCTCAGCCCAGGCTGGGCATCTGCAGGCTGGATGAACAGCACCCTGAGAGGAAGGGCTGGGAGTCGTTCATTCTTAGCAATCACTCAGACCCTTACATGAAGCACAGAAACAGGGAAGGCAAGAAGAGGAGGGGCCACAGCCTCTACAGAAAAATTCCCTACAAGGAAGCTTGCCCTCTCCTGACTGTCCAAAGCAGTCAAAGTCTCCTCAACCATCCCTGGCAACACCAGGAATCTGCATTACCTGATGACTTTAGCAGCCCAGGCACCCCCAGGCCCCCTCTGAGCAGCATCATAGTTCCCCCGAGCGTGGAAGTATTTATCTGAATTTTTGAAATTGGCTTCTCTCATGTCAGAGTAGGCTCTCCACATGTCTTTAGACCCTGGAAAGAAAAGAAAATGATCAAGACAATCATGTCTTGGGAAAATAGAGGAATAAAAGATTTCCTTCCCACCGATTCTAAGATTTCAGCCTTTAACAAAGGCCTTGGAAATTATACTGGCTCGAAATGAATATTCCTTTACTTTTCACTTCCCTGGGTTAAGGTAATGAGAATCACACTTGTGGTATGTTTTATTCTGTTTGATTCCATTCTAAGTTCTGTTGCCACCTTTGCTTTTTTGTTTTGGTTTTTGTTTTATAGAGACAGAGTCTCATTCTGTCACCCAGGCTGGAGTGCAGTGGCACAATCATGGCTCAGTGCAGCCTCAAACTCCTGGCCTCAAGCGATCTTCCCATCTCACCCTCCCAAAGTGAGGGATTACAGGCGTGAGCTACCATGTCCAGCCACTACTTTGATTTTGACTGTGTGTGATGCATGTAAAGAAGAAGTGGGAGATCTTTAAGGGATGTTTCATTATATAATGAACCTCTACATGAACAGACCCAAGGAACCTTCTAGCCAAGGCATGAGAGCACAGGGGATTCAGAGGGAGCCTGCAAGAGAAATTCATCCCTGTTGCAGAGTGAGGATGACTTGGTCCTGAGTACATCTTATTGTCGAGAATATATTTAAAATCTGGGAATCTGTAGAATTCAACCAGCAAGTAATAAAGGTGAGTTCTCCAAGACCTTTAAATAAACTGGATAATCAGATGCCAAAAAAGGGCAACTGACCCACTAGTTCGAAAACTTCGGTGTCCTCACCAATGAAATGGAGGAGTATTGCCTACCTCAGGGGTAGGCAGAAGAACTGAGATAATACATGTGTGATGCCTAGAACATTGTAGGTGCTCAAAATATTATCACTGCATTTCTTGGGCCCTTAGGAAGGGTAGGATAAAAAAATAAGGAAAAAAAGACTAAGCTAAGATGAAGAGCAGGGAGTTATGGACTAAAGGAATCTGATCAAGCTAGAATTAAATGAAAAAATTGTTTTTAATTTTCCTGATTAGGAAAGGGGGGAATCTAATGGCTTATATAATTTGTCTATGAAACAACATCCTCATTTTCTATATTTGTTATTTCTGGTGTTCAGATTGATACTTTCATGACATTTTTACTCCACTTATTCCCTCTGAATTACTGATTTAAGTGGCCCCTTAGAGTCCAGACTTGCTTAATAAGTATTTCCAAAATCTCTGGCACAGTTTATCACTGTGGCAGCAAAATCAGAAGTAGAGGTTCTCAATTTTCACTGTGCCAGGCAAATCAACTATAAATCAACTGAGGTGCTTAGTAAAGGGACGATTCCCAGGCTCCAGACCCAGAGATTGTGACTAGGAATTGGGGAGACCCAAGAATCTTCATTACACAAAGCACCCCAGGCCCCAGGTGATTCTCATGCAAGCAGTCCTAGAACAACCTTTTGAAAACCATTGACCTAAGGAATAAAAGATAGTTTTCGCTGAGTGTGTGAGAAATTAGATAGGATTAACAGCAAACTCTTAAAACTATTATTCAGAGACTATCACAGAAAAATAATAAAACCCTAAATTTAAAACTCTGAAAACAAAACTTTGCCACTTTACTATGGCTAGTGGGGTATATTACCCTTGCTATTGGTTTCCTGGCTGTGTCTCGGCCATAGCAGAACCACCATAAAATTAATTCACTGTGTCTTTCATTGTGGCAAGAGGAGCTAACATTGCCTTCCAAAGGCACCATATCTGGACTATTTGCTATTTCTCAGATAACGAACGGGATGTGTGTTCACAAAGCCCTCACTCTTGTGTAGGAAGCAGTAGAGTACCGTGTTTAGGAGCAAGGCTTGAGGAGCAAGACTAACTCAGTTAAATCCTGCTCTGCTTTGGAATTTTGGTAAGTCTCTTTGTGTCTCAGTTTCTCTGTTAAGGGATAATAGTGATGCCGACATCGCAGGATTAAAGGATGAAAATAATCATTTGTACGTGTAAAACTCTTAGAACAGTGCCCAGAACATACTAAAATCTCAGTTAATCTTGGTTGCTATTAATATGTGGATGGGAACTGTGTTGGCTCTGCTCGGCCTCCCTATGAACACCCCACACACGTTTGATACACCTGCTTCTTGGCTACGTGAAATACATAGAAATGAGCTGCCCCAGATTCCCCACTAGGGGGCAGTAGAGCCCCACTTGTATGAAGGGAACATGCGGCCCTGAATTCCACATCTCTCCAATACTCGTGCTGAAAAGATGCAGCCCAAACCTTATGTAGCCTCAAGCCTGGGGATCCTCATAGAAAAGCGTCAGAGCTGGCCAGAAAAGCACAGGAAACTACTATTAGGAAACTACTACCATGCTCTTTCTCCATCCATCTGTGGCTTCACTAGCACCTTGGCCCAATGGGGGTGTGGCCTCTGCTCAAGAGAATCCTGGGGGCAGCCAGGTACAGCCTCCTGCCCCATCGTTTGGTCCTCACCTTGCCCAGCTTCCTTGATGAATGATAACCATCTTTGGCCGCTGACACCCAGGACCAGGCAGAAGAAAATGATGCCAATGGAAAGCTTCATCCTGCTACAGAGTCAAGGAACACAAACAAGGATAATACACGTTTTGCTTTGGATTTTGTTTTTTCTAGTGTTGGCCTATCCTTCCCTTCAAAGAATAATCCTCACTCAATTTCATACACACACACATGCACACACACATATAGATAGATGATAGATGATAAATAGAATTTCAGAAGGTCTATTTCTCCATTTCCATTTGTCTCATTGGAATCCCAGTGTGTGAAAGATTGCAATAGACCTTTAGTATAAACCTCTTTCCATTTCAATCATCTCCTATCAGCCTTAAAACCCAACTGTATATAGGAAGTTTGCAAAGGGGCCTTTGGAAATTTTGTGACCAGCATACCCCTCTGTAATACGAAAATCAAACAGTCAATAACCATTTGCAGAATGCCTGCTCTACCCATCACTGACTTCACACAGAAGAACACATGACAAATCCTTACCCTAAAAAGTACCCACATCTGCCAAATTCTAATTATTAGAATATTAGATTGAGGAAGGATGCAGAAAAAGCTGAGATGCAGCACAGGAATGCTGGTGCAGAAAGAATCTCCAAAGAGTAAAATTGCTGGAAAGTTCTAGCAACTCACCTTTGGCTGTTCGTTCCTGCTAAGGCCTCCGGTGAAGCTGAGCTACCGTTGCCGCCTGCTGGAGAGATGTGGCTGGTGCTATATATACTGACTCATTGCTAATGGACCAGACCTCTCTTCCCTCTTGCACAATCCCTCTTGGCCAGAACACAGCATGCTGAACACCAGGATTTTTCTTCATACGGAACTAATTTTTTCCCAGATTGTGCAATCTGGTAACTTACAGAAGCTATTTAGGGTTTTCTGCCCATGTCCAGTCTTGCTACTGATGGGCAAAATATCCCCACCCTCCATGCAATAATGTACTGACCATTTACTGCAAAGGGCAATCAATATCAGAAAAAGAGATCTGATTGTCTAAAGAATGTGAGAATACAGGGTAAATGAAACAGCTCACCTGGCTCCATTGCTCAGAATGAAGCTGGGACCCTAGGGACTCTAGGCTGTAGGCATAGGAAAGAAAGGAGGTAGTCAACCCAGGAAAATAAAACTTTCAGCACCAGAAAAGGGAGTCCTCTAGACTTAAGTGTATTCATGATCATTTGCTATTGAAAGTCATATGGCAGGTTATATTTGAAAGATGATATAATCCAGGAATGTTAAACTATAGCATAGAAATTTGCTACAAAGTCATGTAGAAATGATACATAATAAAGATGAGCAGCAAATGGCCCATAGCTGCTAAATTATCAGAATAGCAGATTCAGGGAGAAGTTAGAGAGAGCTGGGATGCAGCACAAGAACACTGGGAAGTGTGATGTTAGAGAACAGCTGTTTTAACCAGAAAAGCAATACCATGCTTTACTATGTGAGTTTAGTAAAATTATCTTGGGAAGAAATTTCATGCAGGTGCTATCAAGGGGAAGGAGTCCATGGTCCACTCACCTGTCCCATCCTTTCCCCTTCATGCAAAATGAAAATTTTAAAGACCGTTGGATTTCCCTAGAGAATAAAGGAGGATGCATGTATAACGTGGCAGAGATGATGAGGGAATCCAGAGGACATCAGATCTGGTCCTGCTCACAATGGAAACCTGGGTTGGAAGCCTGAAGAATGCAGTAGGGCAAGTAAGGCCCAGCCCAGGGAATACTAGCTCAGGATTTTTGCCTGGAGTTTTTGCTGGAAGAAGAAGAATGTGGGCAGTACGTTGAAGATACTAGGGAAATAATCTCTAAGACTGTTGCAAGCAAATTATGGAGACTTGATAGCAGAGATCTTGGAAGGTAGCATATAACAGCCAGAAAGGAGGTGAGACTTGTGTTCAACTGGTAACCCAGAGAAAAACAAGGATGAAGGACTTCTAACTTTTGTTACAGGACTAGAGGAATTTTGAGTAGGATATCAGGAAGAGGAGCAGTGACCCAGGATGAAGCAGATCAGGCCAGGGTTACACCATGTGTGGGAATCATTATCACAGATGATAGCCTGCCAGAATTAGGAATTATGACTCTTTCTAGGTCTGGGCCTTATTTTAATTCCTTTAGGAATTAAAACAATGAGGTGAAAGTTTTAGGGCAAATAACTGTCAAAGTATTTCCCTGTCCATTTTGTTCTTATCCAAGGCAATGCTAAGCAACATGCAGATATTCCCTACACAACTTCTATTTCTTGGGAAAGGTGGGATTCCCTGTGGTCAGATTTAACTCTGAACCGGCTTGGCTCACTTGGTCCTAGGAATAGACAGGAACGTGGGAACAGGGAGGAGGAACGTTGTCAACCATCCACAGCCACTGGTCATGGTGTGCATGGGAGCACTTTTACAGGTCTTTCACAAGCTTTGCATGTTCTTCACCTTTGTTATTTAATGTATTCTGCCTTCTGGAAGGGACACTCAGTTCCTTCCAGTGCCATGCTTAGGACAATAACAATAGTGCCAGCCAACTATTTTCAATTGTTTCTCCTGAAAAAGAAAGATTTCCTGTCATGGTGATACCAGAACCTCCACACCTTAAAGGGATTTCCCAGCAGCCTCCTGTAAGTGACTGTGTCCTGGTTTGCACTAGATAGTCTCAGTGTTTATTGTCTAAACTTAATCATTAACAGTGGCCCTCCTTTCACTCTCAACAATGACCTGAAGTGAAGAATAAGTTAGATGGTGACCTCATTCTGATAGCCACATGTGACCAGACTGCTTGAGAGGCCCAAGAGGCCTCCACTTCTTTCTGTTAACAATTAGTTTAAGTAGAATAGGAGAACACTAAGACTTAAGTTCTATTAAGAACTGGAAAAACAAAAATTAAAAAGTCCAAAGGTCCACAGATATAAGAATGGCATCTCAGACCTAAGCCTCGGTCTTACAGAGCCAGCAAGAAAAATTTTATATTCCCCAAATACAAAATGAGGAAAATAATGGGTCCTGACCTTGTAGGATTGTTGTGAGGATTACATGATCAATGCTGACAGCGGCTTGGATTAGTTTGGGACACATGTAAAGCCCTTAATGAATTTTAGCTCTTCCAACTTAATCAAGAAAATGCATAATAATTTATACTTTGCAGAAGACAGGAAGGTTAATTAAAATATTATTACTAAGGCAACACATTAATAAGTAAGATTACCAATTAGAACTACAGTTTTTAATATCAAGATTTAATTTTATAAAACACAGCGACCTTCTTTGAAGTTTGGGTGTCTTTCAAAATTCCTTTGTTAGAAATAACTGTCGCAAGAATGTGTTTATGATGCAGAAAATCAGCAGCATTTCTGGCAGCCTCCAGAGAAGAGAGAATATTCCTTCTCATTTGCTGAGACTTCTTTCACCAGCGGTTATGAGGCCTGTAGTTTTTTAAGGCTAAGCCCTGGCATTTCCTGGAATTCCAGTAGGTAGTGCAGAGAAAGAGAGTGCAGGCTAGAGAAGCTCAAAACTTACCACAAAGAAAAGAAAAGGCCAAAGCAGAATTATTAGCAGATAGAATGTTGAGTATATAATCTTTTTCATCTAAAGTCACCACTTTGTTATAGTGAAACAAAGCTTATTCAGAATTTTCATCTGCATGAGTTCCTTTTTCTCTTACTGTTCAGATTTCTCTTTCTAATATTAACTACTCATTTCATATCCAGATGAGAATGTATGTGGGCAACTTTTAAGTGTACAATTCATGTATTATTTAAAATATTACTGGCTTTAAAAATAATTGTTATGTCCAATATCATTAAAATACCTTTTTAAAAAGTTAAATCAAGAAAACCTTAGCTAAAAGAGTATGTTAGTGTGGTAGATAAAACAATGCCCTCCCCATCCCCTAAAAAAGATATTTACTTCCTAATCCTTGCAACCTGTGACTATGTTACTTTACATGGTAGAAAAAGAATTCAACACCACAGACCATTTCTTTCTCTACCTATTGAAACTATACATCATCCAACAACTGTCAATCTGATGGCAAAGTCATTGGAGGAGTACACATGCTTCTCCATGTCAAATCAAGGCAGAGAATGGGGCATCACTTAAAAAGTGACACTTGTGTGCAGCAACACACACACCAACTAAAAAATCAACAAATAATTTGGAAATTATTAGAATGATTTGAGATATGATGCGTGCTACAACCATATCTTTTGGTAAGCAATATTTTTTGTTGTTTATTTTCTTTTGAGACAGAGTCTCACTCTGTTGCCCGGTAGAGTGCCATGGCAATCAGCCTAGCTCACAGCAACCTCAAACTCCTGGGCTCAAGCAATCCTCCTGCCTCAGCCTTCCCGAGGTAGCTGGACTACAGGCATGCGCACCATGGCCTGGCTATTTACATAATATATTATTATATCTTATATATATAGTATATATATAATTACTATAAGATATATTTATTGTTCCACGCTAATTCCTTCTATGTTTTTAGTAGAGAACGGAGGTCTTGTGCCTTCTTGTTCAGGGCATGTCTCGAAACCCCTGCAGCTCAAAAGTCCTCCTGAGTCAGCCCTCCCCAGAGGTGCTAGGATTCAAGCATGAGCACACGCAGCCGCCTGGTGAAGCAGTTTTACATTTACGTATTTTTGTTTATATGGAGAATCAGTAGCACAAGTATTAAATTTAATATATTAACCTTTTATACATTAATTTATATTACTTTACTAGTTAAATTGTTTGGATTATTACCCCCACCGTGAGCTCCCCAAGCAATCCAAGAAATAAAACGTTGCTGATATCTCAGGAGCTCCTTGTGTTCCTCTCCCTGGCTGCACACTCCTCCCTGCTCTTTCTCCAAGGTAACGCTCCACCTAAACTTTGCCCTTATTGTTCCCTTGCTTTTTCAAAATTGTTTTTGTCCCATGTATGTATCCAGAAACAGCATACTATTTAGACATTTGTCTGGCTCTTAGCTTTCTGTAAACAGAATTATGTTGTATGATTCTCTGCTCACTGGCTTATTTCAATCAAAAATATGTTCTTTAGATATAGGCATGTTGATGTCTGTTATTTTCAATGCTGGATAGTATTCCAAAGTATGAATAGCTCATAACTTATTCAACATTGGGATTGATTCTTTTTGGCTATTACAAATGGTGTTTTAAACAACCTTGTACATGTCTCCTGATATAAGAGTTTCTATGGGTACAGACCCAGGAGTGGAATAGGCAATGATTGTGTTGAACTTTAGTTGATAATACCAAATTGTTTTTCCAAAATAACTGTACTAATATATATCCTCACCAGCAGTGAGTGAGTGGCCTCTTGCTCCATATTCTAGGCAATACTTACTTTTTATATCAAATTGGTGAGTGATAAATAGTATCACATTATAGTTTATATTTTCTTGATTATCGATGAGATTGACAATTTTTACACATTTATAAGCCATTTGTGCTTTCCCTTCTGTGAAATTTCTATTCATTTATTTTTCCCCCTTTTTATTGATGTATAGGAGTTTTTCATATACTGGATACAAAGGCTTTTGATTATGAATGTTGCAAATATCTGGCCCCAGTTTGTGGTTTTATTTTCACTCTATTGTCAGTTATTTTTTATGGAAGTAAATGTATTTTATATTTAACAAACTCACAATTCAACAAAATCATAGTTTACAGCCATGCACTAATTCTTTTTTAGTGCTTTATTCTTTCTGTTTATTCATTTTCTTAACACAGATCTATTTTTTCCTCAGGTTATGAAACTGGCAACTTTCAGAAACGTAGCAATTTGGGATTTTCTGTCTGTTTCCCCATCTCACTCTTGGTGAGGGAAGTAGGAACTTTATTCAGTTCTTTGATGACCAATTTCTACAGTCTATGTAAACACAGTGGTCATTTTATTTTCTCTAGAGACTTTTCTGAAAAAGCTAGCACTTTTTAAAGGATTAGAAGTTATGTTTTGCTTCTTTTCTTTCTCTCTAGGGAATCCACTGAAACTCTCAACTTAAATTCAAACATACACCTAGTAGTCTCTACCTTTTAGAAGCAGACTGCCCAGTGGTGTGCAAGAGCTGGCTCACACCGGCTTAGGAGAGCTGATTATTAAGTTTTCAGGGATTTTGCAAGCCAATTGTTAAGCTATTGGTAGTTGGAATAAATTCTGGAGGGAGAATATAAACCATGAGAATTGTCAAATACTATAAATCAGGGCTTTATTATTTTTTTCTGGACAGCCAGTTATTAAATATTTCTTAGTACATCGTTGGGATTGCCCCCTTCTAATTCAAAGTTCCACACATTCTTTCCTTTGTCCCTCTAGATATAGCCATACTAATCCTTGGGGAATGTGTCAAAGAACAAAATTTTAACAAATTGAGTTTTAAAGATCTAATTGCCTTTTATTAGCAATTCGTGAACCGGGCAGCATCCAATCTACAAAGTAGAAAGTGTTACTGAGCAACACTGGAAGTGAGTTACGGCTCACTTCCAGATGTGCACAGAAGCCAATACTATGGCACTGGCTTTAGAGAAAAGAAAGGCTTTTTGCAAGGCCAACCAGCAAGGAGACAGGAGACATGGCTCAAACCTCTCTCCTTGTTTTAGGGTCCAGGGCGAGTTGAAGGAGGTCAAAGGGCAAGAGAAAGTCTTAGGAGTGTCGGCATGGCAGAGTCTGATTGGTGGGCTTCAAATCTGGCCATTTGCAGTAAGGTGTGTTGAGGCAGATTTTAGCAATGGATTTTCTGGGCCGATGGACCCCTTGTTTCTTAGAGTTCTGGTGTTCAGGTTCTAGTCAAGTCCTGACCTTCTTGGTTTCACGGGGAGGAAATGTTTATTCCAGGTGTTGTTAGAGGTCAAAGTTTTTTTCTATTGTACATGACCAGGCTACAATACTTGCAGTTTTGCCTCTGTTATACCTACAAGATAATTCAGCATTTTGTTAGCAACAGAGTAGGGCCAATTTTAGCTGGAAAGGGATGGTGCTTTTCTCTTCTAATTCCTAGTAGAGGGTGCTGGGACACATTTTACTATGTTCTTCAGAAAGTCCCAGTGGGATTGAGCACCAATCATGTGGCCTTTACCTGTGGCCAGCCCTATAACATGTCCTAGCATCAGCCTCGCTCCCATCTGTTTTACTCCCCCGTCTCTCACTCCTGATCCCCAAGGTCATTCCCAAGTAAAACATCTGCATGGCAGACTTTGGATCAGCTCTGTTTTCCAGAGAAACCAGGCTAGGATTCGAGGGAAGGCAGTGGAGTGGGGAGAGGGTGCAGTGGGGGTGATTCTTCTATTGTTTGATTCTTCTATTGTCTGGCCTGTCTGTTATCCAAGTTAAGTGGAACCTCCATTAGAAGGAAGAATCAGTAGGTACCCAGCCATCATTGCAAGCTGGGTCATCTCTCTCCCCCCACAACCCACTTCCTTACCCTTCTATCACTCTGCTGTCCCCAGATCTCCACAGCTGAGCTCCCTGACCTCCCCACCTGCAGAGACAGCCCAGTGCATGGCCTGGTGTATGAAGTGCTGAAGGGACCTCAGTCTGTAGTCTCTAAGAAATCCTCCAACTACAGTTTGGGGTTCTGGGGAGAATGGCACATCCACACTTATCCAATAGTGAGAGAGCCAAAGGCATTGCTTCTGATCAAGTAACTAATTTTACAGGAAATGAAGTATGACAGGGGCCCCACACTCATGAATTCACTGGTCTTAGCATGTTCCCTATGGTGCTAGAGTGGACAGGGCGTCTCCACTGCTGACCTTCTTGGCCTTGTTTAGTGTGTCACAGGTTCTGCAGTTAGACAAACCAGCCTGCTATCCTGGCTCTGCATCCATTACCTGTGTGACCTCAGAGAAGGTCCTAAACATGTACCTCTAAACTCAGTGTCTTCACCAAGAACTTCAAAGATTCTCTGTGACTTAGATCAAATAAAGCATGAGATATAGAGCATTGTCTTGCATTTGCAATAAAAAAAAATCAGCAACTATTATATTACTATTCACTGGCCTGCCATACCCTAGTAGAATTTGGAATGCCACCCGTGTGTGCTTCTTATTAGGCTCTTGTTAAATTGTGTTGTGTCAGCCGGGCACTGTGGCTCACGCCTGTAATCCTAGCACTCTGGGAGGTGAGGCAGGTGGATTGCTGGAGGTCAGGAGTTCGAAACCAGCCTGAGCAAGAGCAAGACCCCATCTCTACAATAAATAGAAAGAAATTAATTGGCCTACTGATATATATAGAAAAAATTAGCCAGGCATGGTGGTGCATGCCTGTAGTCCCAGCTACTCAGGAGGCTGAAGGCAGCAGGATTGCTTGAGCCCAGGAGTTTGAGGTTGCTGTGAGCTAGGCTGACGCCATGGCACTCACTCTAGCTTGGGCAATAAAGCAAGACTCTGTCTCAAAAAAAAAAAGAAAAACTTGTGTCTGTCTACATCTCTCACCTCCCCTTTAGAATAGTAAACATTGTCGAATGAATGGGAAGTTACACAGGAAAAGAGAAATGAAAGCATTTTTATGACCTGTAAATTATTGTTCAAATGTTAATTATGTTAAAGGGGCCTGCAGTCCAGCAGGGGAACTGACACCTGTGAAACCAGCTCTGAGGGGAGGGGTAAGATGACCCAGCAGATGTTACCCACGGTGCTTGGGAGCCACAAACTCTCTCCCAGAATGTGGGGTGTGGCTACTGGGAAGGTTCTTCCAGGGAGGAGAATTTTTGCCTGGATCTGAATTCAAAGTCAGTAGCATTAAAGAGGAGAGAGACTCATGTGAGAGCCATTCTTTAGGTAGAATAAAAAGAAACTGCTTAAAAATTAGTTCAGGAGTAGGGGCTAGAGTTGGTGGAGCCAGTGTATCCGTTGGCAGGTCTCTTGGGATTAGGATTCCCAAAGCCTAATGGGAACAGGCCAGTGAAGGACAAGGCCCAGAGGCAGAGAAGGGAGACAGACACCGCTGATTGGGCAGAGAAGAGATCCGGACACAAGGAGGCTGGGGACAGTAGCGACAACTAGAGAGGCCTCAGCATGACTGGCTGGTGAAGAAGTGGGCGGGTGAGAGGAGTGAGACACGTGACGTGTTGCTGCAGATAGAAGAGGGTTTACGTGAAGAATTATTGACATAAAGAATTATTAACGAGGCTGGGCACGGTGGCTCACGCCTGTAATCCTAGCTCTCTGGGAGGCCGAGGTGGGTGGATCGCTCAAGGTCAGGAGTTCAAAACCAGCCTGAGCAAGAGCGAGACACCGTCTCTACTATAAATAGAAAGAAATTAATAGGACAACTAATATATATATAGAAAAAGTTAGCCGGGCATGGTGGCGCATGCCTGTAGTCCCAGCTACTCGGGAAGCTGAGACAGCAGGATTGCTTGAGCCCAAGAGTCTGAGGTTGCTGTGAGCTAAGCTGATGCCACGGCACTCACTTAGCCTAGGCAACAAAGCGAGACTCTGTCTCAGAAAAAAAAAAAAAAAAGAATTATTAACTAGTACCAGGAAATTAGTGACTAAGGGATAAAGAAGACAGACAGGAAGAAATAAATTTGGGAAAGGACCTGTAACAAGGCTGGCATTTAGATCTTGTTGGAGGGTGTGTGGCTGCAGTCCATTGGTGGCAGAAAAAGGTTCCTGGGTGCCACAAGCAAAAGCTGACAAGCAAGAAACCCCCCATTGAGGCACCGATAGAGCATTACAGGGGTACAGTCGAGGTCACTGGGACTGCAGCTGGGCTGCCTGCAAACTCCCTGGGAAGTTGCCCAAGGGGAAACAGGTAGGGTGCTGCCAAACTCCCTGGGATTGCCATGGGAGCCCACTGAACTCATCATGAAGTTGTCCCAGTTTTGAGACACCCTGTATGACCAGAGTGGTTGTCTCCCCACACCCAGCACTCAGGCCCAGATTCCACTCTCATGTGGTTGTTCATTGGTCACCCCTCATACCAAGCAGACACTTCTTACCACAAAGGAGAGCGCAGTTTTAAAAAATTGAGTCTCTTAAGCATTTATTAGACCCTATTGTGTGCCCTCGACCAGTTTCTGTGCACACAGAACTCAGTAACTCCATGTCCCTGCCCACAGGGGCCCGCAGCCCAGTCCCTGAGAGCAGAGAGAAGAGGAAGCTCAGTACTTGTCAGGCAGGCCTGCAGGTCTGAAGAAATTGGGGCCCTTGCCACTCCGCCCCCATTCGTTGGCAGCCTGGTCGGCCAATGAGTCCTCCGCTCCATGGCCCATGAGTTTCTGGATACCCTCTCTGGCATCGCTGTGATGGAGGCAGGCAAGGAGGAGATGGATCACCAAGCTGGTGAGCAAGAGTCCACCCTCACATACTCCCCTTTCCAAGGGCTCTGAGGGGAGCCCAGAAGGTGAAGGAAGGAGGGGCTCGGCCCTTCTCAGCCCGGGCTGGGCACCCTTATGCTGGAGGAGCAGCACCCAGAGGAGAGGGCTGGGAATCACCCATGGCCCTTCCTTGAGCTTTCTGGGGGCAGGTTCACACATCTCACCAGCCATGCTCTGCTCAGTCAGCAGCCCAGGCCCTGGGCATGGATAGGAGAACAGGGTGGGGCCAGGCCCTAAAGGAACCTGCTCAGGGCCAGTCCCTGCTGATTCCCCAGGCAGGCAACCCCTGGCATCCTTGCCGGCATTCCCAGGAGCTCAAGATACCTGATCTTTTCTGCAGCCCAGACACCCCCAGGGCCCCTCTGGGCAGCATCATAGTTCCCCCGCGCATGGAAGTATTTATCTGCATTTATGTAATTGGCTTCTCTCATGTCAGAGTAGGCTCTCCACATGTCCCAAGCCCCTGGAAAGGAAAGGAAAAGGCAGAAGGGACACCAGGTGAACCCAAAGACTCTGATGACACTTTATAAAGGAATTGAAATGAGAAATCTTCTGCCAACTTCAAGATTTGAGTCTGTGATCCTAGCACCCTTGGACACCATGGGTTGGGAAGAATATTCTTTAATCCTGGTTGTCTTCTCAGGTAACTTGAGTGAGCAAGTGAGAGCTATGTAAGTGGGTACATGTGTGTTCTATTGTATTTTGCTGTCTGACTGCTGTGGTGCCATGTGCTACATCTTACTAAAGGCTCCCAGTGATGTGTTTGAAGGAGGGAACTTTCAGAGGAATCAAAACAGAACAGGATTCCTCAATGTTCCCACTATGGAAATATCAGCCTAGGTAATTCTTTGTTTTCAGGGCTATCTTGGGCATTTTCGGATGTTTACCACCATCCACATCCTATACCCACTGGATGCTGGCAGCACATTCCCCAGTGAAACAACCACAGATATTTCCCAATATTGCCAACTGTCCCCTGGGCCACCCCATTGCCCTTGGCCACTGTTATAGAATAGAACCACTGTTATAGAATGAAGCTACATGTGGTAAGATCCAGGAACATACATACGTGAGGTGAGAACACAAAAGACAGAGTCTGAGAAGGTTGCAGACATAGCATACTTCTGTCCTGACACCTAAAAAATATGTTCTTACAAATTGCATATAATTGTAAGTTGAGTCCCTCTGACTCTTAGGGGCATAAAAATCCCTTACAACTGTCTAAATAAACTGTACTGATGTTACAGTTGCTTGAGGAAGCCCAAGAGCAGTGGTTCTCAGCTTGGCTGTGCTTTCTTCTTCTTCTTCTTCTTCTTCTTCTTCTTCTTCTTCTTCTTCTTCTTCTCCTTCTCCTTCTCCTTCTCCTTCTTCTCTTCTTCTCCTCTTCTTCTTCTTCTCCTTCTTCTCCTTCTTCTCCTTCTTCTCCTTCTTCTCCTTCTTCTCCTTCTTCTCCTTCTTCTCCTCCTTCTCCTCCTTCTCCTCCTCTTCTTCTTCTTCTTCTTCTTCTTCTTCTTCTTCTCCTCCTCCTCCTCCTCCTCCTCCTCCTTTTCCTCCTCCTCCTTCTCCTCCCCCCTTCTCCTTCTCCCCTCCTCCTCCCTCCTTCTCCCCTCTCCTCCCCCTCCTCCACCCCCCTCCTGCTCTCCCCTTCTTCTCCCTCCTTCTTTCTTCTTCTCTTTTCTCTTTATCACAGACTTGTTCTATGAATGGCTGCACTTTCTAATCTCCTGGAGAGGTATGGAAAGTCCCAATACACATGCCAGACCCCAGCCTAATTTCTATGGAGTCCATGGGACTCAGGGGTCGCAGCCATGGGTAGTTTTTAATGCTCTGCAGGTGACTCCAACGTGTGGCCAAGATACATAACCACAGAGCTCTAGCAGGTGGTGGGCAGACACATCTACCTGGAAGAGCTTTGCCCTCCTGCACAGCTGCCCTCAAACTTCTGCTCTGCCACCTGCTGACTGGCACTAAGTCTCTTGTTGTTCCTGGATCGCCCCCCACCACACCCAGGGCTCAGGAGTGTGCGTTACTGATAAACATCGCAGCAGTGTCTGGAACACGTGTTAGACCCATGAACACAGCCCGAGAACACTGAACTAGGGGACAGGAGACCTTCTAGCAAATCTAGAGGACCTGAGCTGGCCACCCTGCACACCCTTAGTGCATCACAGTCCCGTAGCAACGCAGAAACTGATAACTCTAGAAGTCTACAAGCAGCCTTCTGAGAGCATCGCTGTGCCATCGGAGAGGTCCAGGGTGGTGTTTCTCTTCAGCAATCCTGTGTGCCTTCTCCCTTCCAGACTCTGTGCAGACTCCAGCCGCCTGGCCCCCGTGAGGCAGGGCGGGATGTGCGCCTGCGCAGTGCGCCACCGGGGGGCAGCAGAGCGCCACGGGGCGCCCCAGAACCTGCCCTGACCTGAGCACAGCATCCACCAGTGACCTGGCGTGAGGACCCCACAGGCAGGTGCCAGGGCTCCCCCGGGCCAGCTGGAGAGCGGCTGATGCGAAAGCCTCGCCCCGCTCTGCCTGTCTGTGGCTTTCTAGCGGTCGCCCACATGCACCGGGCACGTGGACCCCACTCAGGGGTGAATCCCACGGCCGTGGACGCGGCCTCCTCCAGCAGCCTCACCTCCAGCAGCCTCGCCGAGGAATGAAAACCAGCCTCTGACTCCCAGGACCAAGGAAAAGAAAACCAGGCCCGTGAGAAGCTTCATGGTGCTGAAAAGAGAGGAGAGGGCCAGTCAGCCACCGTCCACACTGGCACGACCCTCTTTGGGATTTGTATTCCCAAAGGAGCCTGGTTGTTTAATGAAGTTCATCGCTTCTCATTAGAATCTTAGCTGCTGGTAAGAAGCCTTGCAGGGGGACCCCACTCAGAGCCACAAGTCCTCAGGTGTGGACCCCTCAGCCCTGAGCCCTGACTGTGTAAGAGGATCCCAGGGGTGCAGGTGGAGGAAGGGAGAGTTAGGACAGGACAGCCCCTCCCTGAAGGAGCCTATGGTCCACCAAGGAGAATGGTGATGTGTTCCCTCCGCCCAGCACAGAACTCACACGGGATACATGCAAAACACGATACGTATTTTTAAAAGAGAAGGACAGGCTTGCTTGGAAAGAGAAAACGAAGTAAATTTTCTAAAAAATCATTCTGGAGTCCTTGCTCTCCTGATTTCTGGTGGAGCAGAGCTGCTGGTCCCTGCCTGCCAGGAAGCGGGGCTGCTTTTCATACTGAGCCTTCCCTCCTGGGGTCATGTGAAGGAAGAAAGGTGCCTGGGGACAGTCCTTGCAGGTGATTTCCTCTACAAAACTCTGAAAGGACACTTCCTGGACACCAGTGTTTTCTTCATGCAACAGGTCATTTTCTCCAGTTGTGCAACCTGAGGATACAGGATGGGTTTGCTCTGCCCTGGCAGCCGTGGGGTGGGAGGATGGGTCTGCCCATCGGAGCTGGCGGAGCCCAGGCTGCAGGCAGTGGAGTAGGGACCCCATGAGGGTGGCACCAGTGCTGCTGGAAGGTGTGGAGGGTAGGGCAGCTCTTCTACGCACCTGCTTTATGGGGCACTTCCTCAGGATGCACTCTGCTCGGCCAGACTGTGGATGCCTCAGTCATTAAGTCCCTTTGAGTTCATATCTAAAGCCTTTGAGCTTCTCAACTGACAGGCCAGCCCCGCCACCTCTCATGGGTGCCCTGAAAGGTCCCTCCAACAGTCTGTCTGGTTATCCTAAACTCTCAGCTCCAGGGCACAGGAAAACCCTGCTCAGCTGGCTTAGCCAAATAGGCAATGTCTTTTCCAAGAAGCTCCTGGGTTGGGGACAAGGCAAGGAGGGGGATCCTCCTCCTACCACCCAATCCTGGAGAGCCGCATTTGGACAGTGAGAGTGCCCTGGGATAAATTGGCAGCCCATTAGGGAAGCGCCAGGCTGCCATCAGGGGAAGGAGGGGAGAGCTCTTGCTGCATTACACTGGGGAGGGCTCACTGTCTGCCAGAAACATCAGCAGAGTCAGCCCAGCTCTGCAGGGGCTGGTGCAGGAGCACAGGGCTGAGAGAGGCTCAGTAGCAGAGCTCAGCAGGGCTGTGGCCAGGACGTGCACAGAGACTGTTGCACATGGCAGCTCCTCTGCTTTCTTCCTCTGCAGTCCATCTGTACTTGCAAATTCACTTCCATTGCTTCTATTTTCCAGTGAAATGGAAAGTAAAATCATCAACTGAGACAAATATGAAGTAGGAAGTGTTGGAAATTTCAGGCAACAAGTAAATATTCATCTAGGAGACTGGGAGAGTGAATGAGCATGAGAAAGATAGAAAGGTAACAAAGTACAAGGCAGCTCACAGTTAATGATCATGAATTTAAGGTAAGGCTACTCACTATAGCTGTGAATTTTTTCTCTGACCACATTCAGCTGCCCAGGTAAAGACTTGTACTAAGTGGGGAATTGAGTGTCACTGCTCAATCAATAGCTGTTGAAGTACTGAATGAATGAACACATGCAAAGGTCAAAAGGAGGATTCATTTAATGTGAAGGAGGTGGGAGGATTGCTTGAGCCCAGGAGTTCAAGGTTACAGTGAGCTATGATCACCCCACCGTACTCCAGCCTGGGTGACAAAGCAGATTCTCATCTCTGAACAAACAAACAAACAAACAAACAAAACAACAACAGAAACAAAATGCAGGAGGGTTATAAGGTACAGGGAGAAAGTTAAGCAAGACAGAGTGACTGAAGGGCAAATACAGGGCATAACATGTAGTTCAATGGCCAAGGCCCACAGGACCCCTGGTGACAGGGCTGCCCAGAGTGTAGCAGGAGCAGGCCTTTCTCTGAGAAAGAAAGAAAAGAAGAGAGAACAAGGAAGATGCATTTTGACAGGAAGGATAGAGAACCCAAGGGAAACCAGAAGCACCTGTCCTTTACCTGTCATAGGACTCATCACTCTCTGCCTGCTTGCATTTCTGAGTTTCACCCCAGAGTGCACAAAACCCAGGGGTAGGATCCTTGTCTGGATGATTGACAAGTAATCTATTGTGTCTTTAACACCTAACACACACTGACCTATAACAGCTGCTCAGTAATTTGTATTGATTCAGTGAAGCAATGCATGAATGAAGGAAGAACAGAAGTATTCTGCACAGATTTATAGGTTGGGGGTTAAGAAGACTGGACAAGCTGTGAAATGATGATGTGTCGTAGTCATTTAGAGCCAAACATGGACATTGTTAATATCCAATAAAATCCCAGCCTACTTGGAATGGTTGAATTTACTGTCAGAAAATGTATCCAGAAAGCACACATCTATCACCACTCTACTGCTTCCATCCTGTTACAATAATAATGCATCAGCATCTGGATCATTAAGACTTCCCAAATGGCCTCCATGTTTCCCCCTTTACCCCCAACTAGTTTCTTCTCAACTATACTGTTAAAACACAAGACAACTGCTGTCCGTCTCTGCTCAAAACCCTCCAGAGGAGCCCAGTCTTCCTTATTCCAGATCAAAGCCCTAATCAGGGCTTCAACCTCTCCCCAAACGGCCCCTCCCCCTTCCACTCACACCTCCTTTCCTGCTTCTCCCCTCTTGCTCATTCTGCTCCAGCCACAAGAGTGTCCTCTGTTCTTCAAAGCCCCTGGGTACAACTCGTGATAGGGGACTTGGATTAGCTATTCTTGTCCTCTGGAACATTCTTTTGCCAGATATTAGCATATCAGGGGTTTGAGGTGGGCACTATCTGGGATTCCAGGATGCTGGAAGGTTCAACAATGTAGTTATTGTCACTGAGAGTATTGGCAGTGAACCTGTCAGATCAAAAGCCTGAATGAGCTGTGGAAATTTTCCAGGAAGTTGGGAGAGGATTAGAAAGTTCTGTCTACAAATACAATAGAGAGATGCGTTGTGCCCAAACATTACTAACCAGATTGTCTACGTCAGCAGCATCTGGTGGGTGTTTGAACAATGCAGATTCCTGGGCCAGAATCTTGGAGGTCCTGGTATAGCAAGTTTGGGGTGGTCTTCAGGAATGTGTGCTTGAAAATCCCTCTCTTTCAGAAATCACTTGTGCAGATAACATTGGTAAAACTGGAGAGAGAGTGGTAAAGAATTTGGCAGTGATTTCAGAGAGGATAAGCCACAAAGAATTGGAGGTGAGGAAGGAGGAAATGGCAGTGGCAGCAGAGTGGATGTGGACCCCTCTGTCCCCTTTGGCTGTGCAGGAGGCACTGCAGGATGCACAGCCCTTGGGGGAGGATGGGGATTCTGTGGAATTAACACAACAAGGGCAGGCTTTGGGTTTTTGTTACAGGGGAAGCAAATAGGCAAAGATAAGGGGGATCCTCCCCACAGAACCTTCTTGCCCACAGTTCATTGGAAGTCGGTAGAGGAGGGGCAGGTAGAGTGTGGGAGGACTGAGCCTGACTCACAGGGAAATGAGTTTCTGTGCAGTGAAAGCAGGGACATGAGAGGGGTAAGGAAACCGTGGTGGAGCGCAGGGTTTAAGGCCAGCAGGTTGGGATTGTTTATTGTTTTGGGCTGAGTGTGATGCTGATGGGCCCATAGAACTGAGCCCCAAAGCCCAAGGGTACTGCCAGATGAAACAGTGGGGATGCCTTTCTGACCTTCTCACAACCATGCTGGGGTCTGCTATTCACAGACGTTATCTAGAGGACAGAGGGACAATAGAGGCAGAAAGGGATGATAGCAGCGGTCTTTCAATTGAAACGTGCAGTGAGGCATGTATCCGTTTACTCTGTGCTATACCAGTATTTATAAAGGAGCTAGTTTTTAAAGCTGAGTCGATTTTGCGTTGCATTGTCATTGACTTGCGGAGGCAACAGTCCTTCTTGCTTTGTGAGATTTGTCTAATTTACTTTTGAAGGAGATCAGGTTTTGTTGTCCCTAGTGAAAGGGGAGATCTTGTTTTACTCTATGATGCATTTTTCGTTTTTTCAGTTTCACAGCCTATTGTTGCTTAGTTTGTGTTTTTTCTCACATTACACCTGGTGGACATTCCCCTTTAGTTGGTTGTTTATCACTCATTTTTATAATTCGTTTCAGTAGCAATTTCATTCTCTGATATACCGTGTTTTCTAATGGAGAAGTCTGCAGGACGTCTATTCGATGGATCAGAGATGTCATTCAATGAGTCAAACCCACGATCATCTCACTGTATACTATCTCAGCCAGTCGCTTTATTCCAGCTCCTTGCCTCTGTCGTGTAACAAATCTTTTTTTCTGGAACTTTGTGCACATTCCTAGTAAAAAGATGAAGGTGTTTTATTGAGTTAATGTCCAGGTCTGGAAGTTTTGGTTTTGGGAAACTTTGCCATCCTAGATGTCGAGCGCAGTTTCCTAGCTGGAAGAAACTGGACTCTTCTGTCCGTGCATTTTGTTGTTCTAACAGAAGTCTCATTTCCAAACAGAACACTGTAGGGATTATGTTGTTTTGGTATTGAGGTTTGTTCGTACGACTTTCGATTCTGTCTGTACTGATTGAGCACATTGTTTTACACAGTGGCATATGTCTTCGGGAGACATGGGTGTAGGTATTTTGATTTCTTTTTTTTGCACAAAGATATGTTCCCCCAGTGATAACGATATTGAGGTCTTCTTGTCCACCCAAATGGATATGTGATTTTTCCAGTAGTGGGTTATGATTATCATTGTTTCTGGTTTTTCAGATTTTTGTCCTTGCAAATGACATTGTTTTCATTCAGTTTTTATTCACAGCTGTTCACTGAGCGCGCTGTCTATGCAGCTGATCAGCTGCATGATATGTTGAGCATGAACATGTGGAAGGTTACACAGGGATGCCAGATCTTCTCAAGGCTTATGCCCCGTCCTCTATAATTTTGGGACATTGTAATTTTCAGGAGATTATTGATTTATATTCTTTTTTTTTTTTCAAGTTGCGATTTTGATTTGTTTTTTTATTTTTTTTTTTAAAGAAAGCTCATGTGTATGTGATGATAAACTGATAAGATTCCAATAAGTTAACTGGGAAGGACTATGTGTACAGAACATATAATGGAAGCAAAGAGAAGGGAAAGTGTCACTAGCCATCCTGATTGTTGTCTTCCCCATAGAACAATAATCCCCAGGTACTGACCTTATTGCTCATTCCCATCCTGTCTCATTAAAAGAAGTAAACAGAAATGCTCAGCTGTCAACAGGTCACCTGCCACTTTGCTTGTCCTGCCCCTCGCAGGCTATGTCTGTGTTGGCATATTCACTTGCTCAGTGGGATACATGAGAAAAAGACCTCTCCTGTTTTTTCTCCTGTTCTTCTATTAGCAGCCTAATCATCAGGAATATACAGTACCTGAACTGTATTGATTATATGGAGTGACTCCTGTAATTCTGGTTTTGGTTTGTGTGGTCCTTCTTTACAAGCCCCTGCTGCCTAGAAGTACATTTAACTTGGAAGCTCAAGCTAGGAGGAGGGGGTTCTCTCTTCATCAGAGTATTGGGCTTTGTTTTTCTTTTTTCATACAAACAGAGGTTGTTTGTTGTTGTTCCATCTATGAAATGGGATTTTCTGTACTATTAGGAAATAAATATCTATATTACTGTTTTTCTTTTTCAGTACTCTTAACTACAAAAGTATTACAAGATAGATTTTGAATTGCTTACTGATTTTCTTGAATCTAGCTCTATTTATTTTAACCTTAGTCAACATGATGTGTTGCTTTATATTTTTTTAACACCGATCACCTACGTTTTTTTTTAGAATTCCTTTATGCTTTTCTGTGATGCTCTTTCTCTTCTGGTGAGTTCACCATTGGCTTTTTTATGTTCAATTTTTTGTTGTTTGATATTGGTTTTGGTTTAGATCCAGTTTCTTTATACTGAGTGTAGCATCTTTCCAAGGGGTTTATGATGGGGTGGGATATTTGTGGGATAGGGGCTGTGTGCGTTGTGGGGCTCCAGAACAGAATCTACCAACGAGTGTTCTTCTACTTGGAGTTGTTTTTTTTGTTTTTTGTATTGTTTGTGTTTTTTTTTGTTTTGGTAAGTTCCTTAATTTGGTTTGCTACATGATCACTTTTAGGTCGCCGTCTTTTATCCTTCGTTCTTTTTTTTTTTCCATGCCTATGTTACCCTACGCGCTTTTTCTCAAAATTTTTGTGTTTTTTTTGTGGTTTTTCTTTTGGCAAATGTTTTTTTTCTAGGCCTTTTATTTTTTCCAGGTTTTTGTGATGATGTAGGATTGTAGTTAGGTTGATTTATTTATTAGTCAGAGTGACTTGCTCATGTTGCAACAGTTTTCTCTTGTGTGTCCGGTTTGTTTGTCCACGTAGCCTGCTGAGCCTGCTACTGAGCCATTCCTCTTCAGCCCTGGTGCTCTTGCACCATGCCCTGCCTATGAGGCTGGTGATTTGACGACTTTTTTTTGTGGCTGAGTGTTTTCTGGCGTAACAGTGTATCCCTCTACCTCAGACAATACAGCTATTGTAGCTCTCCTCTCCTTCCCTGATGGTAGTTCTGGCGCTCACTCTATGGGCTGCCAAATTAGCCCTAGGGCACTCTCACTGTCCATAATGTGGGTCTTTCCAGGATTGGGTGGGTTAGCGGGAGTGGAAGTTCCCCTGCGTGGGCATTTTTACCTCCAACAACCAGGAGCCAACTTTAGAATAAGACATTGCTTCTTGAGGTAAGCCATCCAGCGGCTTATCCTGAGATGTATCGCCTTTATCCAGTCATATTAACCTTGGTTTAAAGTGGAAGTAGCTTGCCTCCTACTTTCCCACCTTCCAGCACCCCTGGTGCCACCATCTATCTGGTGGGGGGTTCCGTATCTTTATCGCGCTTTATCTCTTGGTGTTTTTGTGTCATGCCTCCCCTTCCTTCTCAACTTTGTAGGATCTAGGAGCCCATCCCCGTTTCCACCCCATTTTCGTTGCTTGCCAGTAGCATATACTTATCTCCTTTTTTTTCTCTAGGTTTGCACAAATGGGGGAAATGACCTGTGCATGAAGAAAATTTGGACATTCCGGGGAATGTCCTGACGGAGACTGTTGGTTGGAGAATCCACCTTGCATTTGGACTTGTTTCCCCATTTTTTGTTTGTGTGTGAGTGTTTGTTTGTTTTGTTTTTTTTGATTGTTTGTTTTGGCAACCTTTTCTTTTCCCTCTTACAATTGACCAGAGGATAGGCTTCAGATAGTAAAGACTAGCTCCAGCTTCCATTGGCAGCAGGTATATCAGTCTGTGCCTTTCACCATAAATTCAGGTGAGCATATGGACTTCAGAGTGATTTTTTAAAGTATAGCTTGTTACCTATCTTTTTTTCTCTTTCCCAACCATTTGTCATTTTCTCTTCTTTTTAAGGAGATATATTGTTTATATCGTTTGTTTTTGTCTTTGTTTGATTTTTTCCGTTCTGTGTTGTTGAGTTTTGTGCTTGGTGGACGGTATAGGACACAGCCATTATCCTTGGTGGACTACAGGCGTCTTTTTCAGTTAGGAGGTGTCTGGTTTCGCTTGTTTTCCTTATACTCCTCTTCCTCCACTGGACCTTACCTGGGGATCCTCTTTTACTATCAGTCCTGGCGTCAGGTTCTTTACTTGTGTGTTTCTGAGTTGGGTCCCGTTTAGTCTGCATAGGCTTTCTTACCGAGCTAGCTAAGATTCTAGATTGAGAATGCGATGAAATTATTTTCATCATTTATACAACCTTAGTGTCTTTTTTCCTTTCTAGAATCACAAATCCAAAGGCGAGTCGTCGCCAGTGTTGACGGTGACTTGACTGGGCTCTTCCTTTCCTCTTTTCACACAATTTGAATGCTTTCTTCTTTCAGGGCCTTGGTGGTTTCTTTTTCCTTGGTCCTTTTGGGGTAGTTCCGATGGCTTGTTCATTCCTCGCTGATGGATGCTGGTAGGTTGATGTTGCTGCTTGTGAGGAAGGCCTTTGCGTTCTTGATCGGCCTGTTTTTGAGTTATCACTCGTCTGAGGTGGGTCCACTGGCCCTTGGTGCATGTGGCGACCGCTATAGTTTGTTTATAATAGCCACAGACATAGTGCATGATCGGCGAATGTGCTTTTCGCATCACCGCTCTCTCAGATCTTGGCCCGGTGGGTATGCCTTTGTCATCTCCTGTTTGGGTTTCTTCTTTACGCCAGGTACTTGGTGATGCTGAGTGCCTTTCTAGTGATCATGGTGTCAGTGTCTGGCGCTCCCGTGGCGCTCTTGCTTTGCCTCTCCCTGGTCGTGCGCTCTTTTGCGCAGGCGCACATTTTCTTCGTTGCCTTGCGTTCACTGGTGGGGCCTGTGCGTTGCTGGAGTCTTGCACTAGATCGAGGGAGATTAGGCACACAGGAATTTCTGAAGAGATAACACCACCGCTGCACCCTCTCCGATGCACATGCGATGCTCTCAGAAGCTGCTTGTAGTACTTTCTAGGTTATTCAGTTTCTGGCGTTGGCTATGTGACTGTGATGCAGTAAGGGTGTGCAGGGGTGGCCAGCTCAGGTCCTCTAGATGCTAGAATGGTCCTCCTGTCCCCTAAGTTCCAGTGTTTTTCTCGGTTGTGTGTTCCATGGGTCTAACACGTGTTCCAGTACATTCTGCGTGCGATGTTTTATCAGTCAACGCACACTCCTTGAGCCATGGGGTGTGGTGGGTGGCGATGCCAGGAACACACATAGAGACTTAGTGTCAGTCACTTGGTGCAGAGCAAGGAATTTAGGCAGCTGTGCAGGAGGGCAAAGAACTCCTTCCACGGTAGATGTGTCCTGCCCACCACCTGCTAGAGTTCATGGTTATGTACTGTCTTGGCCACTATATTATTCGAGCACTGCAGACATGTAAATATCTATCCATTGCCGGCGCCCCCAACGCCGCAAGGATTCTTGCAGAAAATTAGGGCTGAGGTCTGGCATGTGTATTGGGGATTTCTTTACCTCTTCCAGTGATAGAAAGTGCATGCCTATTCAATAGAACCAAGCCGTGATAAAGGGTTGGGGAAATTAAGAAAAAAGAAAGAAAAGCGCACAGCCCAGGTGAGAACGCTACTTGCTCTAGGTGCTTCCCTCAAGCAACTGCAACATCAGTACAGTTTATTAGACAGTTGTGTGGGACGATTTATGCTCCTAACATGTCCAGAGGGACTCAATCACAATTCTGTGCATTCTCAGTTTTTAGAATAATATTCTTATGTGTCAGGGCAGAAGTACGCTATGTCTGCAGCCTTCTCGGACTGTCTTCCATGTCACCACCTCACTCATACGTTCCTGGACTTTAACACGTTTAGCTTCATTCTATAACAGTGGTTCTTGGCCAGGGGCAATGGGGTATCCCAGCTGGCAATATTGGGAGATATTTGTAGTTGTTTCACTGGGGAATGTGCTGCCAGTATCTCGTGGGTAGAGGACATGGATGGTGGTAAACATCCTATAATTCCCAGAACAGCTCTGAAAACAAAGAATTTCCTGGCCGTATATTTCCATGGTGGGAACATTGAGGAATCCTGTTCTATTATGATTCCTCCAAGAGTTCCCTCCTTTAAACGCATCACCGGGAGCCCTCAGTAAGATGTAGCACATAGCACCAGAGTAGTCAGTCAGCAGAATACAGCAATGCAACACACATGTGACCACCTACTAGCTGTCACTTGACTCAAGTTACCTAGGGAAGCCAACTAGGATTAAGGAATGTTCTTCACAACCCAAGGTATGCAAAGGTGCTAGCCTCAGGCTCAAATCTTAAAGTCAATGGGAGATTTTTCATTCTTCGATTCCTTTATAAGGTGTTGTCAGAGTCTTTGTGTTCACCTGGTGTCCCTTCTGCCTTTTCCTTTCCTTTCCAGGGGCTTGGGACATGTGGAGAGCCTACTCTGACATGAGAGAAGCCAATTACATAAATGCAGATAAATACTTCCATGCGCGGGGAAACTATGATGCTGCCCAGAGGGGCCCTGGGGGTGTCTGGGCTGCAGAAAAGATCAGGTATCTTGAGCTCCTGGGAATGCCTGCGTGGGTGGCAGGGGTTTCCTTCCTGGGGGATCAGCAGGGACTGGCCCTGAGCAGGTTCCTTTAGGGCCTGGCCCCACCCTGTTCTCCTATCCATGCCCAGGGCCTGGGCTGCTGGCTGAGCAGAGCATGGCTGGTGAGATGTGTGAACCTGCCCCCAGAAAGCTCAAGGAAGGGCCATGGGTGATTCCCAGCCCTCTCCTCTGGGTGCTGCTCCTCCAGCATAAGGGTGCCCAGCCTGGGCTGAGAAGGGCTGAGCCCCTCCTTCCTTCACCTTCTGGGCTCCCCTCAGAGCCCTTGGAAAGGGGAGTATGTGAGGGTGGACTCTTGCTCACCAGCTTGGTGATCCATCTCCTCCTTGCCTGCCTCCATCACAGCGATGCCAGAGAGGGTATCCAGAAACTCATGGGCCACGGAGCGGAGGACTCATTGGCCGACCAGGCTGCCAACGAATGGGGGCGGAGTGGCAAGGACCCCAATCACTTCAGACCTGCAGGCCTGCCTGACAAGTACTGAGCTTCCTCTTCTCTCTGCTCTCAGGGACTGGGCTGCGGGCCCCTGTGGGCAGGGACACGGAGTTACTGAGTTCTGTGTGCACAGAAGCTGGTTGAGGGCACACAATAGGGTCTAATAAATGCTTAAGAGATAGAATGTGTTGAAACTGTGTGTTATTCTTTGCAGTAAGGACTGCCTGTTTGATATGAAGGGGTGATCCATGAACACCCATGCTTAGGTGTAGCTGGTTCCTGTGAGTTTGGGTGTAGGGAAGATAATCTCAGCAGTCACACAGCTGGTACACCTGTACCAGCCCCTCTCTGAATCAGGCCAGCTTCCCTGTCCGGGTCCCTGTGGTTACATTGTTGCTATTTCCAGGCCCTTCCAGGTGCAGGCCCCTCATTCCCTGTCAACCACATCCTATTACCTTGTCCGCCCCCAGGGTCTCAGTTCCTCAGGGGTCTCTGTGCCTAGGGGCACGGCACACAGACATGGGAGGATGGGACCAGGAAATCCTGCCCCAGGAACTGTCACTTTGATCTTCTCCTCATGACTCAGCAACACCTACACATCCAAGTATTAACCAATTTCTGTCCGTCCTGTCTACAAAATGCCTTTAGTGCAGTTTCCCTCCATTCTATTTTCATTGCCTATTGCAAGCCTGAATGAAGATGTAATGCCACCCTTTTTATGAGTGTTTCCTGGCAGTTTCTGCGCCTTCACTAGATCAAAATTTTGGCAGTGGTGGCAGTGAAGAGGGAGCTGAAGAGAGCAGACCCCTTTCACCAGTTAGGTGCGGTCAAGAGACAGAAAGCGGTCAATAATGTGAAAGGGAAGTTTCAATACAAGGAACTGTTAACTGGTTACAGGATTAACTACTAAGGGAAATGAATAAAAGAAGCTATGAAGTTGAGATTGGGCCCCCTCAGGCTTGAGATTTAGATCTTTTTAGAAAGTCCATTTCCCAGGGGATGGCAGAGAGTTTGCTGGGTGCCACAAGCCACAACTGACAAGGAAGAATGGCACTGAGGTGCTAATGAATCTTAGCAAGGACCTGCCCCGGAGGTAAAGGGACCCTGGGAACTCCGCTGGGGTTCCTCAACTTACTCAGAAGCTGCCCACATGGAGGCAGGAGGTAGGACCCTGCTGAGCTCCCTGGGAAACCTGCTGTGGAAGCCACAGTGCTCTGGACACATTGGGTCCTCTCAAAATTCCTATGTTGAAGTTCCAACTCCCAGTGTACTGTAATACTTTGCTACAGCAGCCTGCGCTGGGTCTAGCGGGGTGGTGCTGAACACCCTGGAAATACTACTGAGGTGCCACAGACATTGTCAGGAAATAGCCCCGGCCTTGGAAGGCCACTGAAAGTCTCTTGGGTGAGAGCCACTGGGTGTCCTGCACAGGAGACGAGCACCGCAGAAGCTGGAAGGAAGCAAAGCACACAGGACCAGGAAAAGATGTCTTTATTCTCGCTTGTCTCTCCTGTGCAAAGATTAAGGTCATGACCAGCTAGCAAAGAAGAAACGTTTACAGGGTCCAGCCCCAGCATCACAAACAGAGCAAAGAAGGGTGGGCGTGGAGCTCGTAGTAAAGAAATTGATATTGGCATAGCCCTCTTTTCTGAAAGAGGCATTGAGGAGGATTCCTAAAAGAATAAGATTAATTATAAAATTATCTTTACTGGCAAAGTGGTTGACATCCCCAGGGAGAAAGAGCTCACAGGGAAAAGCTAAACGATTTCAGCTGGGTATAAAAAATAACAACACATCATGATCAACTTAGGTTTACGGCAGGGATTCAAGAATAATTTAGCATCAGAAACATCTATCTTTGTAATTCTTTGTATTGATAATTAAAGGAAACAGTTACATATTTATTTTAATAGGTGCAGAAAATCTATTTCATAATGGACAATGTCTATTGATGAAAAAGAAAAACGTATAACAAAATCAGGGCCCCTTTCTGACTTGATAAAGGCAAGATACCAAGAATCTATAGCCACAGTTCTCAACTCTGTTCCAGAGAACCCTAAGGATCCCCCAAGGCCCTTTTAGGGAAGCCCCTTTCTGACTTGATAAAGGCAAGATACCAAGAATCTATAGCCACAGTTCTCAACTCTGTTCCAGAGAACCCTAAGGATCCCACAAGGCCCTTTTAGGGAAGCTTTGAGGACAAAATTATTTTTATTATCATACTAAGACAGATATTCCTTTTTTGTTGTAATTTTCTCATGCGTACAGATGATATGAAAAGTTCAGTGATATGGGTTTGGATTTCCACATTGCAACTTAACTTTAAGAAACTACCACTTCTTGACCAGGCACGCTGGCTCACGCCTATAATCCTAGGACTCCAGGAAGTCAAGGCTGGAGGATCACTTGAGGTCAGGAGTTCAGGACCAACCTAAGCAACAACGAGACTCCATCCCTACTAAAAATACAAAAAATTATCCAGACAACTAAAAATAGAACATGGTGGCATGTCCCTGTAGTCCCAGCTACTCGGGAGGCTGAGACAAAAGGATTGCCTAATTCCAGGAGTTTGAGGTTGCTATGAGCTAGGCTGACTCCATGACACTCTAGCCTGGGCAACAGAGAGAGACTCTGTCTCAAAAAAAAAAAAAAAAAAAGAAGAAAGAAAGAAACTACCACTTGCCAATTTTTGGTGTAGTATCATATAATGGCCATAATTATCTAAATATGCTATTAAAATATTCTCCCGCTTGTCAACTATATATCTGTACATGAGGCTGAATTTTCTTCAAATACTTCAACCTAAATAATGTATTGCAGCAGACTGAGGTGTGAGAATCCAACTATCTTCTGTAATAGTATTGAGGCATAAAAAAATTTTCAGAAATGCTACACCAATTCTTCCTACCAATTTTTTGTTTTTGAAAATAGTGATTTTTCATAAAAATATATTATTTATGTTAACATGCAATGGATTTATTATTTTAAAAAAATAACTGAGAGGCCATGAGCCTCAGCCGGCAGCCTCTGGGGGAGGAGACACAGAGGAAGTACACACAGATGTGAATCCAGCGGCTCCTGCTGCCTAGAAGACACAACTTGGAAGCTCAAGTTAGGAGGAGGGGATTCTCTCTTCATCAGAGGTGTGGGCTTTGTAAGAAGGGACACACACCAACCAGAATTAGGAGTCCCTTCCTTAATCAATCAGTTGGTCCCTGTATATTCCTGATGATTAGGCTGCTAAGTAGAAGAAACAGGAGGGAGGTCTTTTCTCCTGTCCTCCCCATGGCAGTAATTGCCAGCCTGCTGCCTGGAGGGCAGGAAGCAAAGTGGCAGGTGACCTTTGACAGCTGAGCCATTTCTGATTTTACTTCTTTTAATGAGACAGGATGGGAATGAGCAATAAGGTCAGTACCTGGGGATTGTTGTTCTCTGGGAGAGACAACAATCAGGGTGGCTTGTGACACTTTCCCTCCTCTTTTCTTCCATTATACGTTTTGTACACATGTCTTTCCCATTTAACTTACTGGAATCTTACAGATTTATCATCAAATATGCATGAGCTTTCTCGATTGACATATATAATCATTCTCCCCTGAATTACAAGTCCCAATTTCATGGAGGCATAGCTTGGAGCTGGTCATCCCCTGTGTCCTCCCATGTTATGCTCAATATGCAGTGCAGTGACAGCTGCATAGAAGGCGCTCAGTGAATAGCTGATGAATAACTGAATGAACATGTCATTGCAGGAAAATCTGAAAACCCAGAATAACATGACTATCTCCCACTACCTGGAAACACAGGTACCATTTGGTGGACAGCGTCCTCCATATGTTTCACTGGGGGAACATGTCTTTGAGCAAAAATGGAATCATATTCTATTCCACTCTTTCCCTTAAGACATTACCTATACTCCTCCAGGTCACTAAATGTTCTTCCACAACATCAGCACACGACAGAGTCAAAGTGATACTAGGTCTGTCTGAATTCAGGGCTTGGGTCTTAACTTCTATGCCATGCTGCCTCCAAGTCCAGGTGGCCAGGTTTAGGATCTGTGATGGGAACTGCATGTCACAACCCCTACTGGGAAGGTGTTGTGGTGTTTTGTAATGGACTTTCTGCTAAAGATAGGCAAGGCAATATGGAGGGGGACAAAGTCCAGGTTTCTGCTCCCAGAAACTGCCAGGAAACACTCATAAAAACGGTGGCATTACATCTTCATTCAGGCTTGCAATAGGCAATGAAAATAGAATGGAGGGAAACTGCACTAAAGGCATTTTGTAGACAGGACGGACAGAAAAGTGATGTCAGAGTCTTGATGTTTTCCTTCATAGTGTATCACATTAATCAAGTACTGACCTTTCTCCTATCCTTATCACTTATTTCCAGGAGCTTGTGGGACATGTGGAGAGCCTACTCTGACATGAGAGAACCCAATTACTATGCATGAGATAAATACTTCCATGCGCGGGGAACTATGATGCTGCCCAGAGGGCCCTGGGGGTGTCTGGGCTGCAGAAAAGATCAGGTATCTTGAGCTCCTGGGAATGCTGCGTGGGTGGCAGGGGTTTCCTGCCTGGGGGGATCAGCAGGGACTGCCCTGAGCAGGTTCCTTTAGGGCCTGGCCCCACCCTGTTCTCCTATCCATGCCCAGGGCCTGGGCTGCTGGCTGAGCAGAGCATGGCTGGTGAGATGTGTGAACCTGCCCCCAGAAAGCTCAAGGAAGGGCCATCGGGTGATTCCCAGCCTCTCCTCTGGGCTGCTCCTCCAGCATAAGGGTGCCCAGCCGGGCTGAGAAGGGCTCGAGCCCCTCCTTCCTTCACCTTCTGGGCTCCCCTCAGAGCCCTTGGAAAGGGAGTATGGAGGGTGGACTCTTTGCTCACCCAGCTTGGTGATCCATCTCCTCCTTGCCTGCCTCCATCACAGCGATGCCAGAGAGGGTATCCAGAAACTCATGGGCCACGGAGCGGAGACTCATTGGCCGACCAGGCTGCCAACGAATGGGGCGGAGTGGCAAGGACCCCAATCACTTCAGACCTGCCAGGCTGCCCTGACAAGTACTGAGCTTCCTCTTCTCTCTGCTCTCAGGGACTGGGCTGCGGGCCCCTGTGGGCAGGGACACGGAGTTACTGAGTTCTGTGTGCACAGAAGCTGGTTGAGGGCACACAATAGGGTCTAATAAAATGCTTAAGAGATAGAATGTGTTGAACTGTGTGTTATTCTTTGCAGTAAGGACTGCCTGTTTGATATGAAGGGGTGATCCATGAACACCCATGGCTTAGGTGTAGCTGGTTCCTGTGAGTTTGGGTGTAGGGAAGATAATCTCAGCAGTCACACAGCTGTACACCTGTACCAGCCCCTCTCTGAATCAGGCCAGCTTCCTGTCCGGGTCCCTGTGGTTTACATTGTTGCTATTTCCAGGCCCTTCCAGGTGCAGGCCCCTCATTCCCTGTCAACCACATCCTATTACCTTGTCCGCCCCCAGGGTCTCAGTTCCTCAGGGGTCTCTGTGCCTAGGGGCACGGCACACAGACATGGGAGGATGGGACCAGGAAATCCTGCCCCAGGAAACTGTCACTTTGATCTTCTCCTCATGACTCAGCAACACCTACACATCCAAGTATTAACCAATT